TCATCCTTTATATACCGGCCTGCACAACCACTAAGTATAGAAATCACAGCTCTGGTGGCAACTTCATCAATGGCAGGCTCATTAGTTCTGGAACTCTCTGAAACCAGTGACTTGGAATTTGATCTCTCTGAAGTAGAACTCAACCTTCTAGACGACCCTTTTCTCATGGCAGGCTTCTGAGCCTCGTGGTTGGAAAAGTCGTAACTTTTTCGACCATGGCAGATGTATATAGGCAGCAGAGCTATAGATTCATCTGGTGCAACTCTTTCTCTGTGTTTCACTGGTTTTGGGCTTTTTGGGTACTTTTTTCCAAGTTCTAGTCTTTCATCTGTGAGCAATTCTTGTAAGGAGGACATTTTTTGGTGGATAATTGGATTTGGGTTTGAAGCAAAGACGAGTTTGTGAAAAGCTTCACTGACATTCTCCCAAAACCAGAAAGTATACAAAAGACAGCTATTGCTATAGAAGAGAAACAAGAGAAAGAGGTGAGAGAAGGAGACAGAAATGAGGACAAAGACTGGTGTTGGCTGATTCTTTTTTGACGTTTTAACCGTCGACCCGGCTTTTAATTTAAGGGTGGCACTGAACCGTTTGAAATTGGACCGGGTTTTAGTTGTTCCATGAAAACTGTTTTATTTTAAGATCAAAATATCAAACAAGAATTCACCAAAAAAGAAATCCAACAAGAAAGAGCAGCATATTTTGAATTTTGGAATCTGTGAGCTGCTTAATTGAGTTGGAACACACAATTCAAATTTCAGCTGTTCAAATAAGTTATTTGTAAAGTACATAATTTAGGTACATTTTTAGTAATCAAACATCAAAATCAGAAAGGTTTAGATGAGATGAGAGTTGAGCTATTATAGATTGATATGTTGAGTCTGGACGAGAGCTTATAGTATTCTGTGTTGATGTTGCTTATATCCAATATTATTGTGTTAAAATTTTCATTTTACTTTAAGCTCAAAATGAAACATAGTATTAGTATAGAAAAATGTCACGTCTGATCTATTTTAATAAATACCCCATTTGATAGGTTTATTTTCACAACAAATCCAATCATCTTGGTCACCTTAACCTAAATTTAGATTTTGAATCATTCATGTTTTCTTGTCCCCCACAAATGAGATTTTAGGTGCTATAATCAAACTTAAACAAAGCCTCCTCATAGTATGAAAATGTATGTGCCTCATTATTTGGTGAAAATCTAACCATTCATATATGTTTGACCTTGGAACATTGATAACATAATTGCAATGCATGACATGCTGCACAGTGGCTTAATGGAGTCATGGTCAATGTCACATGCAAAAGTTAATGTAAATAGACTAAGAAAAAACCATATAATATAATAAAAATGGAAGAAACAAAATAGAAAAGACAAAAATGGAGGCCAATAATGCTCATGAGTCATGGGGAGGAGGCTTAATGGTTTCACAGTCTTTTCTTCTCCTCCTTTCATTTCTCGATGTGCTTCTTCTCTCTTACTCTCTACCATTGTCTTGTTCTTTGGCTTAGCTCTTTTGCCATGTCTTTATCTTTGCCCAACTTTGCCAATTCACTATTGTTAATTCTCCAAATTTTTACTTTATCTGAACCGGTTTAGTCCAGCGATTTTCCGGTTCATTCAGACCGTTTAAGCTTTTGGTTTGGGCCAAGCAAATAATAGCCGTTATTCAGATAATGTTCAAAGTCTTTAAATTATTTGAGGACATTTAAAAATAATAATAATAAGACACTAGAAATGTGACCAAACCGAATTTTCTTATAAAAAAAATCGAGAATTCTTTAGAAGTCTATAGGAGAAATTAATTTACCCTATTTTTACTCCTATTTTATTGTAAAGAATTTCGAGTCATTATTTCTTCTCCTTGATTTATCTCCATTTTAGTCCCTTTTACTTTATTTTATTAAAAATCACACTGATTCAGGATTTTTACTGTACTTTGGGTCCCAAGTTATTTTGACAATAGAAATTAAAAGTTAAGTGAAATAAACAAAAAAAACATAATTTTTTCTGAAGTATCTCCAATGTCGCCTAAGTTTGAAATTAAAAACTTTGTGGGATATATGGGAGTGCTAATGAAATATGGGAGAAGAGTCCTAGTCAACTGAAATTAAAACAACAGGTTGGAATAGCAAATAAAAGATACGTTGATGCCCAAAAATGGATAATCACTTTCGGTCTTATGGGCCTTTCGGCAGACGTGGATGATCTGCAAGATAAAGAGCAATGATAATATCTTGGGTAACGGTGTGGTATCGGCTGAAGGCTCCTCGATGCTTGAGTTAGTTTAAAGACAAAATAAAAAGTAATTTGGACAACATAAGAACTAAGTAGCCGAATGTTATTGTTACCTTTCTTTTTGAGACTCGTGCCCTATTTATAGAGGTCCGAGGTGAGTGACATTTGGTTATAGTTTTGATGTGGGACTGAGAGGCTGCCACTTGTCCATATCTAGCTTGGTTCAACATGCACATTCTTTAATCGGATCGACACGTTAGTTTGCCGAAGGCTAACCTATTGTTGATGATTATTTTATGGGCCTCAGTGGGCTCCTTTTATAAATCCCATGTAACCATATGTTGTGAAATAATTGACCGGTCAAATATGATATAAAAAAGATGCTTCATAAAGCTAAACATTTAGCCAAACAAGTCATGGAGGTGGTGTTTGTTGATGATGACCAAATGATGAAGATTTACATGCAAGTCACACAGATGCCTTTCACACTAGCCATTCATCACTCTTAATACCTATCTTCCACAAATAATTGTACTAATATATTTTTTCGCTAGACAAAGAAGTGATATTACTTAAAGTACATGTTGACTTGGTAGCTCTATAATTATATAGCATTTCCCTATTGTGCATGCATCTGTGAGAAAACTAAACCCTAACAAACTAATGGGTGAACAGTTATATATAATATTTTGCACTAAAACTGATTTTTCATATTTTGATTTTGTGGAAATTTGATTTTCTAATAATTTTATTTAAATTTAAATAGGGGGTACTTCCTTATTTACATTGTAAACTTAAGTAATGAAGTAATATAAAAATAAATGAAAGTAAAATGAGAAAGATATTTATTTAATGTTAAAAATGGAAATAAGGTAATCTATACATCTAGAGTGCACAACCACCAACTGAGCAAAAGGGCAATTTGAAGTACTTATAATGGTTTTTCTAACAAAGGAAGGTGCTGCTGCATCTTTTTACGCCTTAATAGGTCCGCCATTGTATATAAGAGTACTTTATATTATGAGATAATGTAGACTCATGAATTAACGATGATGGTGATTTCATAGAGAACATTTCTATATGTGAGGTATTTTATGGGATAACGTAGCAATGATAGTAATTTCATGACTTACGCCATTCAAAACTTGGAAAAGAAAAAGCGATGCAATGCTTGGGTATTGACTAGATAAGATTTTCTCATCTTTTACAGCTTAATGTGGCCCAATAACATCATTACATACACTTACACATGTGCAATTTAATTGTACATGTTTATTTTTTGGTAAACAAGAAATAAAACTGGAAAGTTCTCAAAATTGGGAAGCTTAAGCCTAAGGCACCATGCTTTCAAGAGTTTTCACACTATTTTCATGGAAGTTGTCAAGAATTGCTGTGGCTTATCTTTCGCTATTTTAAATAGAAATGTGACATCTTTGCTTTTGATTCATTGGTCTGGCGCCGACAACCAAATCTGTCTTCGGCCTTTTGTCCCTCTCTCTTCCTCACCCAATTTATAAAAGAAGCAATAAACTACTGTATCTGGACGATGGTTTTCCCATTTTCCCACAGTGCAAATTGCAGAGAAAAAGAAAACAACTTCACTAATTTACAAGTCACAACAACTGGCTGACGACATCGTCTGCGTCACCCTAGCCCAGCTGGGATCGCTGATGCCATCTCAATCGTCACCAAAGCGACTTCATCTCCTCTAACGAAATTTCTCTCCTTCTTCTTACTCTCAAACTTTCTCCCTCTCTGTCTCTCAAACCTCTCTCTCTCTCTGTTCTCTGACTCTGTTGCTTTGAAAACGAAAAATGAAATTTCGGAGCCTCATTCGGACTTGGATATGACTCGTACCCTTTTGCATCCCATCTCTCTGTTGTTGTCCTCTTTCCTCTTTGTCGTCAATCTTGGGATGTGGTATATCTGAGTGGTTGATATAGTTGAAAGTTTGCTTCTTTTTCTTGTGGGAAATTTTGGGTTTTTGTCACAATTGTCCTAAGATACGTCCTTCTTTGGTTTTAACTTGTTATCTTCATCTGGGTTTTGAAAATCAGGTGAGATTTGATTAATTTTTATACATCTCTTTTGTTGAATCTGTAGTATGTTCTGTTAGACAGTATTAAAAATACAACATAGAATATAGTGGATGCCCAATTTGGTTTCAACTGTTATTAGTAGATCTTTACCTTCCTTAATCTAGTTATGTAGATTTTGTCTGTAATTCCACTTTGGAAGCTTGAGCATAGCAATTTTGAACCAACTTTTTTTATATTGGTATTGTGGTCAGTCAGTGTTTAGGCATTTGTCATAACAAACTTATCTCAGTTTGAGATAGTAGGTCTTGCTATTCAGCTCAAATTCGTGTATTATGTTTATGTCATTTCAATGATTCCAACCTTTCAAAATTGAAGAGTAAAAGTCCCAATTTGTGATAGTTTTATATTTCTTGAGTGTTAAAAATTGTAAATTTATAATTTGTCTCATATTGGATTTTCCCCTTTTGTTTAGTTTATTTTTATTACTCTGTTTCTCTTACTTTTTCCTTTCTTCAAAACACTTTCTCTAATAGGTCTTTACCATATCAATCATCAGGATCACAAGAGCTTGTGTTCTTAGAATTAGAAAGCGTTTGGGGTCTTATTCTTCAAGGGCTATAGCTAGTTTAGATGTTAATATCTTCCATCAATGGGTTATGTGATTAAGCTTGACGCTGATACATCCTAGGCTCCACCTATAGGTCTGAAGTAGATTAATGGCTAATTCATCTGAACCATCATCCTCTTTAAGCTTTACTTCATCATCCCATGTATCAAATGGTTCAATAAGCCACAACTTTTCTTCCTTTGGTTCTGAATCCGTGCCTAGTCTTGAAGTCATCAGTTTGAGCAAGCTTAGTTCTAATTTGGAGCAGCTCTTGGTTGATTCTGGCTGTGATTATAGTGATGCTGATATCATAGTTGAGGGGATTTCTGTTGGCGTTCACCGATGTATATTGGCTTCTAGGAGTAGTTTTTTCTGCGATCTATTCAAGCAAAAAAAGGGGTCTTCTGGGAAGGAAAGCAGACCAAAGTACTGTATGAGTGATTTGCTGCCTTATGGCGATGTTGGATATGAAGCCTTCTTGGTGTTTTTGAGCTATGTGTATACTGGAAAGTTGAAGCCTTCTCCCATGGAGGTGTCAACCTGTGTTCACAATGTATGTGCCCATGACGCGTGTAGACCTGCTATTAATTTCGTCGTGGAGTTGATGTACGCTTCTTCCATTTTCCAAATGCCTGATCTGGTTTCGATATTCCAGGTTGGTGTTCTGTTGTTTTTAATTTCTGATCAAGATTTTTATCACATTAAGCCATCAGTCAACTCTAGAGTTCATGATTTCTGTGGAGCTGGGCATGAGTGAAGGTCCCTTTCTTTTTATTGATTTCTGTTGTTACTAATGGTTGAACCATTGTAGTGGATGAGGTGATTGAAGTCACCCCACAAATTTCTAATGGTTTAAACTGCTTGACTTTATTTTTTGAGTTCTTGGCTACAAAAGTGTAGAGCAGTTTTGAAAAGAATTAATGTTCTTTTTTACCTTGATTTTCTGGGGCATGCTAGTTAAACTAAAGTAATTGATGTCACCCCACGAATTGTTATCATCTCATGTACCTGGTACCATTAATCCTTCAACATCTATATATCACTTAATAAACCAATTTTTCCCTTCAAGCTTACATTAATGTAGTGGTAGGGGTATAATGTTGTTTTGGTGGCTTTTTATGAAACATGGTTTTGTAAATTTAGTCCTATTTTTTCTTACAGTCAATTTCTATCCAACTTGTTTATAGAATGTTAAGATAGATTGCTCATTTATTTGATAAGAAAAATGGAATTGTTCTGATTTGGTTATCTATGTATTGGCAGCGACGCCTTCTTAATTTTGTTGGGAAAGCTCTGGCAGACGATGTTATCCCAATCCTTGTAGTTGCTTTCCATTGTCAGTTGAGTCAGCTCATCGCTCAGTGTATAGAGAGAGTGGCACGATCGGATATTGATAGCATCTCTCTTGAGAAGGGACTTCCTGATGAGGTTATTGAGAAAATTAAAATTCTTCGCCGCAATTCTCAGCAAGACAGTGACCCAAACATGCCAGCAGTGGACCCTTTGCATGAAAAGAGAATCAGGAGAATACATAAGGCATTGGACTCAGATGATGTTGAACTTGTGAAACTTCTTTTAAAAGAGTCTGCTATAACCTTAGATGAAGCCAATGCTCTCCATTATGCTGCGGCTTACTGCGATCCTAAGGTTGTGACTGAAGTGCTTGGTCTGGGTCTAGCTGATGTTAACCTCCGGAATTCTCGGGGTTACACAGTACTTCACATTGCTGTGATGCGCAAAGAGCCATCAATTATAGTATTGCTTCTGACTAAAGGAGCTCGTGCATCAGAGCTGACATCAGATGGTCAGAGTGCTGTTAGTATTTGCCGGAGGTTGACAAGGCCAAAGGATTATCATTCAAAAACAGAGCAGGGGCAAGAAGCAAACAAGGACCGAATATGCATTGATGTTCTAGAGAGGGAAATGCGTAGGAATCCAATGGCTGGAGTTACATCAATATCTTCCCAAATAATGCCTGATGATCTGCACATGAAATTGCTGAACCTGGAGAATAGAGGTAACATTTCTAAGACCTTCCCAATTGATTAGTAAAGGCATAGTGGCAGGTGATAGTCACTAGGTTTTTTCTCCAGAAACTCTTCTGTTTTTTTTTTCTCCCTGGAAGGAAACATAATATTTGTTTTGAGATCTTAAACCAATGAATTGTTTCTTTTATCTTTTATTAACTCTCTTGTTGCAAGTTATATTTTTCCTGCACCGGAGTGCTGTCTACCAAAAGGAGGTATATACCCTCTTGTTATCTTCATGGTACAAGTTAATTATTGAGCCTCATGTCAAGGGCACATATATATTTTTGCTTCGGTTCATTACCCTTCCTATGGCATATATCAATGCGTGGTTGACATAAAACATATAGCTTTATCCAGGCTATTATATTCTTTCCATTCTAGTTTGCAAAGTCATCTCTTTAGACTTTGGGTGTAGACATGTAGCCTTCTGAATTTCAATCTTTTTCCTTTCGTATTTATTCTTTTGATTGGTTTAGTGTGCCTCTGAGTCTATGACATGATATCTTTCACTTGTTAGATAAGACCTAAATTGAATTATTTATTGCAGTGGCATTTGCACGATTGTTATTCCCGGCTGAAGCCAAGCTAGCTATGGTCATTGCCCATGCTGAGACAACCTCTGAGTTTGCTGGGCGCTCTTCATCGAAAGGCTCAAGTGGGAATTTGATGGAGGTTGATTTAAATGAGACTCCCACTGTGCAGAACAAAAGACTCCATTCTAGGTTGGAAGCCCTAATGAAAACAGGTAAATGCATGCTTTTATCTATATTCTGGTTGAATTGCAGAGTGTTGGTTGATTCTTCTTTTTTTCAGTGAACTTATGGTTATTAGAATTCATATCCAAGTTAGCAAGACTTAAAATTAGCCACGTCTTGGTCGAAAGAATAAAAAGTTCATACTATCATAGTTATTCTCTTCTGAGCCTTCTTGTCATATTGTGGCAGTCAATTTGGGTAGATGCTATTTCCCTCATTGCTCGGAAGTCCTGGATAAGTTCATTGAGGACGACCTTCCTGATTTGTTCTACCTTGAGATGGGCACCTCTGACGAGCAGAAAATAAAGAGGATGCGTTTCATGGAGCTTAAGGAGGAAGTACACAAGGCCTTTAACAAGGACAAGGCTGAGTTGAACCTCTCTGGGTTGTCTTCATCATCCTCCACGTCGTCTCCGAAAAAACTTGGTGCAACTCAAAAAGTTAGGAAATTGTGAGGGCATGTAAATTGTATCTATTAAGCCTTCTGAGTACGAACAAATTTTTTTTGTTTGTTTTAAGGTTACTGACAAAAGCTTAGTAAGTTTTGGCTTTTTTTATCAGTAAAATCTTGGCAGATGCGAATTGCCCTGTTAACTACACGAACTAGCAAGTATCCTAGTTTTGTAATTCTGTAGAGGATGTGGTTCTGGATGGTTGGGATATTTGATCAATGAAATTCACCTTTGCCTTTCTTGTATGTGGTATTTGATAGCCGCAGATTAGTCGATTTGGGTAAGTGACACGTGTTGAGAAGGTATGTACAAGTTTCCTTGTACATGAAAACCAACTCGCTATTGGAAAATGAAAGATTATCACCAAACAAAGCAGAATACGAACAGAAGTTCACATTAATGAATTTACAGAGAAATGCTTAATACAGTGTCAGTGAGCATGGAGGCGTCAACCTGTGTTCATTCAAACACTTCACCTACAAGTTGATGTAGAGATGCGTATAAGGGTGATGAAATTTTATTTATTATTATTTTTTAATACAAACGATAGTTTGATTGGATGAATTTTTTAATTTAGACTGTATATTATAACTTTTGTGTTACATTAGATGAAATCAAATTTTTATTTATTTCTAATACAAGCCACAATGAATCTTGAATTTAGGCATTTATACATATATACCAAAGTGCTTTCTGTTCAAATAATTCCTACCGATTCATCGGCAACATTTTAAGATTTTTCTTTCTCAGACTCATAAAGCCTGCATGAAGGTTGCTCAATATTCTTCAATATCAATTCCAGTGGATATGAAGTAAAAGGCATTCAAATATAATGTACAAGTTCAAACCAGTAAAGGGAGCTTTTGATCGATTGTCCCAAGTAAATCAAGATGATCATGTGACCACTTACAAATATTACTTTATAAAAACGAATATTTATATCTTAGAATAAAATCCCTTTCTTCTTTTTTTTTTTCTGCAGAATGGAATATATATATATATATATCTATATCTATATGATAAAGAAACAAAAGTTTACCGTATGGAATAAAGGTATTTTCTGAGATTCCAAAGTATTTTCCAACCCAGTGGTTGCTAATTCATGCTTGACATCAGCATGAAACTGAAACTAAAGACAACAAGAAAAAAAAAAAAAAAAAAAAAAAAAAAAAAAAAAAAAAGAGCACAGGGGACATCTTCTCTGGGTAGCAAGCAACCTTCATCCTCACACAATGATATGAAAATCATAGGTTTATATGCATGCCATGTAAATGACCAACCATGCCTTGTTTTTCTCTCGGTATAAGTAAAAACTAAGCATTGGACGGAAGTAGTGTATTGAAGAGATGGGCGGTCGGTCCTCAAAACGACAGAGGAGTCCTTCCCCACCGCGGCCTCCTCCCCCACCACCACCACCTCCGCCCCCACCACCGCCGCCTCCTCCCCCACCGCCCCCTCCCCCACCGCCGCCTCCTCCCCCACCGCCGCTTCCACACAACTATGAAGCTATTTTGAGAGATGCTGACTCACTCATCAACAAATCCTCAGTGGAAAACCTCCTTGAAAAGCTCCGTGCCGGAATAACCTTAAACCAAAAGAGAAAGCTAAGCCCAGCATCTGAAATTCAAACACTATGCTCAGATGATTTAGTTTTGTGAAATGTGATATTCCAGTTCGTGCCGAAATTCAGCTCCAAATCAAAATATATGGGGCTTTTAATTTGATTTAAAGAAGGGCAACTTGTAGTTGTAAGTGAACTTAGAAACCAACCATCTTTGGTTATGTCATTATTCTGTTATTGCAGAAGTATTGGGTTGACAAGAAGTCCAACAACTGCTTTATGGTGTATGCAAGGGATCTCTCGATCTCTTGGGCTGAAGACGATCGTAACTGGCTCTGGCCCTCCCTGCAAGAAACCAGGTACCAAAAACTTCAATACATAACTTATTGGTTTCTCAGTTTCTCCAGTCCTATTGAAGTTGAAACAGATAAACGCAAATATACAAAAAAAAATAATAATAAAATAATTAGTAAATTTGGCTTACACCCTTCAAATTCAATTTGTCGTACCTAAAACCCTTCACTTTTTGTTCCTATAAATAATACCCAATTTGTATAAGTAAAAACCCATGACTAGGATCCAACTCAGCATGAAATCTGATTTATTGTACTTTTCAGATTCCAAAAATACCCCCAACTGAGCCATTATTGCATTTTGTATATTAATGTAGGAATCAATATGGAAACTGTTTTTAATTGGATTGTATATAATGACAGATGTTGAATTTGGAAAGATCTCCAAATGGTTGTAATGGATGTAAGAATTAATTTTGAAACATTTTAAAAAAAATTTAACAATAAATTCAAATTTAGGTAATCGGTTTGTTTAATAAAATGTTTATGTTATTTTCTTTTTATGAATTATACATGACTAATAATCCACTTTATAATTGTTTATGAATAAAATTGTACATACTAATTATGTTGAAAAAATAATGTACCTATTACTTGTTTGTTTTATGAAAAACATAATTTACCTAGTATGAAAAAGTGTACATAATTATCTATTCCAAATAATGTACCTATACACATTTACAGGTATATTGTAAAATAATTTACCTGTGGGTAAATAATGTACCTTTATTTTATATAAATTATTGTGTACCTATTTTTAATTATGAAAAATATACGCAATTACAAAGTAACTGACTTTATTTTTTTTTTTTTTTGGTAAATAATATACCTATATTTTATATGTATATATTTAGATTATATTTTTCATAGGTACATTATTGGATATGTAATTTATAGATTTTTTTTTGTTGTTGTAATTTTAAGGGGCGAGATGTGAGAGGGAATGATAACTAAAAGAAATGGGGTGATTGATATGCTATTAATAGGGAGTATATTAATTACAATTATGACAGTTAATGAAATGCTTGAAATAAATTATAAATAAAATATGAAGTTTGGTGGCAATGATGTAAAAACATAGAAATACTACGACCTCTTATATCCTACTAGTCATTTAAATTTGAAATTGGGTTTTACACATACATTTATAGAGTAATGGGTATATGTCTAGGAAATAGAAAATGTAAGGATCTATATTGGACAAGCCCTAAAATAATTATCATAAAATGCTATCAGTACTCTCAATCCTAACTCAGGTTTCATTGCAGTGGTGTCGTCATTGATGCTGCCGAAATGATTAATGAATGTTGGCTAGAAGTGCATGGACAATTTGAGACTACAAAGCTGTCACCAGGAACTCTGTATGAAGTTGCGTTTGTGGTCAAGTTGAAAGCTTCAGCTGATGGATGGGATGTTCCAGTGAATGTCAGTCTCACTCTTCCAGATGGCAGCAAACAATGGCATGAAGTTAAGTTGAAGGAAATCCCAAGAGAGCAATGGAAAGAGATTTTGGTTGGCGAGTTTAGAGCATCACCCGAAATACCTGGGGACATGGAGTTTTCGATGTATGAATATGATAGTGGGAAATGGAATAGAGGACTTGTTATCAAGGGTGTTATCATTCGGCCTAAAAATTAAGTTGCAGAATACTCAGCTTTGCTTATGAGCAGAGATATGATTTTCTGGGTTTTTCATATGAAGACAGATCTGAGAGAATTGCCTATGTAAGAAATAATAAGAACAGAATAATGAAACAATGATACAGCTTACATTTCTGCTTCAATTAGAACCAGGCCAATTCGAATTTTACTGGCTGGTAATTTAAGACATAAGCAGGAGCAGCTGTCATCACATATCATCATCACTTAGCTTAATTTGGTTCCACCACTATTAGCCCATTTTCAGTTTCATTTCATCTGGTGAGAAATATTTGATGGCATGGGCAACGTTCTTACCAAGCTTCTCAGGTTTTCATCACCAATATCATTCCCACAACCACATTCTAACAAGAAGTTGATATATCTGACTCCCTCAGCACCTGAAAGTTGAAACCTTCTCAAATTTTCTCAAGATTTCACAACACACGTACAAACTTACCAAAAGCCAGTTTTATTTTAAGAAAAACTGATGCTGCCCATGATGAGCAACATGGCTCAGTTGACCAAGCTGCCAACAAATGGATGATCTCATTTATTTTCCTTTCCTTCTTAAGTTTAATGTGTCAAGCAATATAATAGATACAAATGGCAAGAGTCCAACACACTCTTCATTACAAGCAAAGCATATATGAAAAAAGTGAAAATGATACTTTATTCAATGGGATTAGCTTCAACGTCAGATCGTAGTAGATGGTTACCTAACTACAAGCCTCTACTCATAATATTATTCAACTTGGTCTGGGGGAGGAGTCACTCGAGGTGCTTAAATTCACATCAATAATATTAGAGACGCCAACTGATTAATATTTTATTATTTTATGTAAATAAATAAAATCAGAAGTGGACTTAGAATAAAAAAAGTTGAGCCACATTTACAGCATATGTGGTCTTTTTAAATGGAATAAAATGGTAGAAAAGCTTGTATGAAATGAGAATAACATTATTTTGCTATTCCCAACTAATTATAGACTGCCACGTGGAAAAGTTATCACGTGTGGCATTGTCGTGACGGGCCGAATATAGCAAAATAATATTATCCCTATTTCACACAAGTGTTTCTCATAAAATGGGCCATTTTGGAAAATCAATCAATGTCCACATAAATAGAATCCATACCTCATTGAATATGAGGAAGCCCCAAGACAAAGTCCATCTGACATGTACCCATGATTGATCAGGGACTGGCAATGGCATATACAATCTTGCATTAGTTCTTGCACCTTTAGACAACTTGCACACCCTATAACCTTCCATAAATCTAGTAACGTAGCACCGTAAAGTTGGCCAAAAATAAGATCATCGACTGCGCAATGTCTTGTCTCGCCCCATATCCCCTTAATTGTGCAATTCACTAATAATATTCAAACGCAAACTAGAATTTGGAATTCAAAACTGATTCCCTTTAAATAGAAAACCATCATGTATGATAAAATCAAAGCGTAGGCCTGCTTCCACATCACGCAAAATAGGAGCAAAGTATGGGTCATCAGTAGATAACAAATCACGTATAGAATCAAAATCCAAAACATGGTTCTTCATGGTGAAGAGAAAAGTTTGTTCTCCTGCTCAGAGCATCTGCTACTCGGTTCAAGGCAGGCTTGTACTTGAGAACAAAAATAAATTGTTGCATATATGATGCCACTTTCCATTATTTTTCCTCATAGAGATGAAAAGACTCTCCATAACTTTATTCTTAAACCAAGATATAACTCCCACATGTGAAGACACACTTATTTAGTATAGGTTATTAAGACATTCCTCATGCTTAAATGCGATTCCAACGGTCCATGTAGGTAAATGCTAAATGATTTGCATGAAGATATCTTCAATTTTGATTCTGATATACTTTTCCTATACAAATATATGAGAACAATTAACTCAAGTCAATCGAAGTTCAAAGTCTCACAGATAATATATTGCAACCAATTTATTAAGCCTTACTCTTTGGAATGTTCCACTGTGGTACTTGAGACGCTACAAGAACAGAGGAATTTAGTGACAACCTTTTCAACTGCAGGGAGAGAAAACTCACCTCCAAAAAGAGATTTTAGTCAGCAAACTTGTCTCCCCATGTAATGAATCTTGAATTTAGGCATTTATGCATTATACATATATACCAAAGTGCTTTCTATTCAAATAATTCCTACCGATTCATCCGCAACATTTTAAGATTTTTCTTTCTCAGACTCATAAAGCCTGCATGAAGGTTGTTTAATATTCTTCAATATCAATTCCAGTGGATATGAAGGAAAAGGCCTTCAAATATAATGAACATGTTCAAACCAGTAAAGGTAGCTTTTGATCGATTGTCCCAAGTAAATCAAGATGATCATGACCACTTACAAATATTACTTTACAAAAACGAATATTTATATCGGAATATTTATATATTAGAATAAAAGTCCTTTCTATTTTTCGGCAGAATGGAATATATATATAGTGCCCTTTTATTGAGGGATCCTTCAAATAATTTTTATTTGAGGAACGCCCTTTTCTGATATGGAATAAAGGCATTTTCTGATATTCCAAAGTGTTTTCCAACCCACTGGTTTCTAATTCATGCTTGAACATCAGCATACATGAGAAACTGACAACCAAAGGAAAAATAAAGTACAAGTTCACACGACATATTTCTTGGGTAACAAGCTAAAACTTTCATCCTCATCCAAACCTTTAGTGAGGTACACAATGATATGAAAATCATAGGTTTATATGCATGCCATGTAAATGACCAACCAAGCCTTGTTTTTCTATCTATATAAGTAAAAACTAAGAATTGGATGGAAGAAGTGTATTGAAGACATGGGAGGTGGGTATGGGTCAGAGACCGAGACCCCACGGCCGCCTCCTCCCCCACGGCCGCCTCCTCCCCCACCGCCTCCTCCTCCCTCACCGCCGCCTCCTCCCCCACCGCCTCCTCCTCCCCCACCCCCGCCTCCTCCCAAACCGGCGCTTCCACCCAACTATGAAGCTATTTTGAGAGATGCTGACTCACCCATCAACAAATCCTCAGTGGAAAACCTCCATGAACAGCTCCGTGCTGGAATAACCTTAAACAAAAACAGAAAGGTAAGCCCAGCATCTGAAATTCAAACACTATGCTCAGATGATTTAGTTTTGTCTCGTGAAATGTGAAATATTCCAGTTCGTGTCGAAATTAAGCTCCAAATCAAAATATATGGGGCTTTTAATTTGATTTAAAGAAGGGCAACTTGTTAGTGAACTTAGAAACCAACCATCTCGGTTATGTCATTATTTTGTTGACTATGAATTGTTAGCATTATCACTGTTATTGCAGAAGTATTGGATTGACAAGAAGTCCAACAACTGCTTTATGGTATATGCTAGGGATCTCTCGATCTCTTGGGCTGAAGACGATCGTAACTGGCTCTGGCCCTCCCTGCAGGAAACCAGGTACCAAAAATTTCAATACGTAACTTATTGGTTTCTCAGTTTCTCCAGTCCTATTGAAGTTGAAACAGATAAACGCAAATATACAAAAAAATAATAATAATAAAATAATTATCATAAAATGCTATCAGTACTCTCAATCCTAACTCAGGTTTCGTTGCAGTGGTGACGTCATTGATGCTGCTGAAATGATTAATGAATGTTGGCTAGAAGTGCACGGACAATTTGAGACTACAAAGCTGTCACCAGGAACTCTGTATGAAGTTGCGTTTGTGGTCAAGCTGAAAGATTCAGCTGAAGGATGGGATGTTCCAGTGAATGTCAGTCTCACTCTTCCAGATGGCAGCAAACAATGGCATGAAGTTAAGTTGAAGGAAATCCCAAGAGAGCAATGGATAGAGATTTCGGTTGGCGAGTTTAGAGCATCACCCGAAATACCTGGGGACATGGAGTTTTCGATGTATGAATATGACAGTGTGAAATGGAAGAGAGGACTTGTTATCAAGGGTGTTATCATTCGGCCTAAAAATTAAGTTGCAGAATACTCAACTTTGCTTATGAGCAGAGATATGATTTTCTGGGTTTTTCATATGAAGACAGAAATGAGAGAATTGCCTATGTAAGAAATAATAAGAACAGAATAATGAAACAATGATACAACTTACATTTCTGCTTCAATTCGAACCAGGCCAATTCGAATTTTAATGGCTGGTAATTTAAGACATAAGCAGGAGAAGCTGTCATCACATATCATCATCACTTAGCTTAATGTTGGGTTTTATGGGAGAACGAAAGACTAATTTTATTTATTCAACAATAGATGGGTACAAGGCTTTATAGAGAACTAGGCTTATTGGCCTTCAACAACTAGAAATTGTTTGCTAGGCCGATTGGCCTTTTTCACTCTCTGCTGGCTATTTGGCCTTTTCTCTCTCTTGGCTTTGTACAAGAGACTACATCTATTTATACACTTAAGCTGCCGCCATTGTCCAAGTCCCACCGACTTGGACAATCTCTCCTAGCCACATATTTTTATTTATCTAGACTTTTCTACAATTCCTTGCTGCGTACTTTCTTGGTTTTTCTGGAACATTCTTCAATCTTCAATTGTGTTAGCCAATCTTTAATTGTGTTAGCCAACATTCACTTCAAGCTTCTAGCAGAGATCACCTCCTTCCCATGATGGGCAACATGGCTCAATTGACCAAGCTGCCAACAAATGGATGATCTCATTTATTTAACTTCCTTCTTAAGTTTTACTGTGTCAAGCAATATAATAGATACAAATAGCAAGAGTCCAACACACTCTTCATTACAAGCGAAGCATATATGAAAAAAGTGAAAATGATACATTATTCAATGGGATTAGCTTCAACGTCAGATCTCGTATTAGATGGTTACCTAGCTACAAGCCTCTGCTCATAATATTATTCAACTTGGTCCGGGGGAGGAGTCTCTCGAGAGACTTTTCGCCATCTATTATAAAGTGCCTAAATTCACATCAATAATATTAGAGATGCCAACTAATGAATATTTTCTTATTTTATGTAAATAAATAAAATCAAAAGTGGACTTAGAATAAAAAAAGTTGAGCCACATTTACAGCATATGTGGTCTTTTTACACGGAATAAAATAGCAGAAAAGCTTGTATGAAATGGGGATAAAATTATTTCGCTATTCCCAATCAATTATAGACTGCCATGTGGAAAAGTTATCACGTGTGACATATACAATCTTACATTAGTTCATGCACCCTTAGACAACTTGCACACCCTGTAACCTTCGATAAATCTGGTAACGTCACGCTGTAAAGTTGGCCAAAAATAAGATCACCGACTGCGCAATGTCTTGTCTCGCCCCATATGCCTTTCATTATTGTGCAATTCACTAATAATATCCAATGGAGAGAGGGTGATGTGCCTTATATGTATATGGCCACCTCCATCTAGCACGATGCCTTTTGGGTGCTCATTGGCTTCGGAGTCATGGGAACTCCTAAATTAAGCGAGTTGTGGCTAGAGCAATCTCAGGATGAGTGACCCACTGGGAAGTTGCTCGTGAGTTCCTAGAAACAAAACCGTGAGGGCAAGGGGGGGCTCAAAGTGGACAATATCATGCTACGGAGGAACCGATCTCGTGCTACGACAGAGCCGATCCCGGGATGTGACAAATTAACTCAAGTCAATCGAAGTTCAAAGTCTCACATAATATATTGCAACTAATTTATTTAGTTAGTTTGAGTGAGACTAATTAAACAAACTAATTTTGAACATCTAAAACTTGGTTCATGAGTTGGGTTGATTAAGCCTCTCTCTTTGGAATGTTCCACTGTGGTATTTGAGACGCTACAAGAACAGAGGAATTTAGTGACAACCTTTTCAACTGCAGCTGCAGGGATTTTAGTCAGCAGTAGAAACTTGTCTCCCCATGTAATGAATCTTGAATTTAGGCATTTATACATATATACCAAAGTGCTTTCCATTCAAATAATTCCTACCGATTCATCGGCAACATTTTAAAATTTTTCTTCCTCAGACTCATAAAGCCTGCATGAAGGTTGCTCAATATTCTTCAATATCAATTCCAGTGGATATGAAGGAAAAGGCCTTCAAATATAATGTACAAGTTCAAACCAGTAAAGGGAGCTTTTGATCGATTGTCCCAAATCAAGATGATCATGTGACCACTTACAAATATTACTTTATAAAAACGAATATTTATATCTTAGAATAAAATCCCTTTCCTTTTTTCTGCAGAATGGAATATATATGATAAAGAAACAAAAGTTTACCATATGGAATAAAGACATTTTCTGATATTCCAGTGGTTGCTAATTCATGCTTGACATCAGCATGCATGCGAAACTGACAACTAAAGAAAAAATTTAAAAGTTCACAGGACATCTTTCTTGGGTAGCAAGCACCTTCATCCTCATCCAAACGATATGAAAATCATAGGTTTATATGCATGCCATGTAAATGACCAACCAAGCCTTGTTTTTCTATCTATATAAGTAAAAACTAAGCATTGGATGGAATAAGTGTATTGAAGAGATGGGCAATCTGTTCTCAAGTCCTTCACCACCGCCGCCTCCTCCTCCACCACCACCACCTCCTCCCCCACCGCCACCTCCTCCCTCACCGCCTCCTCCTCCCCCACCACGGCCTCCTCCCCCACCTCCGCCTCCTCCCCCACCGCCGCCTCCTCCCCCACCTCCGCCTCCTCCCCCACCGCCGCCTCCTCCTCCCCCACCGCCGCCTCCTCCCCCACCGCCGCTTCCACACAACTATGAAGCTATTTTGAGAGAAGCTGACTCACGCATCAACAAATCCTCAGTGGAAAAACTCCTTGAACAGCTCCGTGCTGGAATAACCTTAAACCAAAAGAGAAAGGTAAGCCCAGCATCAGAAATTCAAACATTATGCTCAGATGATTTAGTTTTGTGAAATGTGATATTCCAGTTGGTGCCGAAATTCAGCTCCAAATCAAAATATATTGGGCTTTTAATTTGATTTAAAGAAGGGAAACTTGTATTTGTAAGTGAACTTAGAAACCAACCATCTTTGGTTATGTCATTATTCTGTTATTGCAGAAGTATTGGGTTGACAAGAAGTCCAACAACTGCTTTATGGTGTATGCAAGGGATCTCTCGATCTCCTGGGCTGAAGACGATCGTAACTGGCTCTGGCCCTCCCTGCAAGAAACCAGGTACCAAAAACTTCAATACATAACTTATTGGTTTTCTCATTTTCTCCACTCCTATTGAAGTTGAAACAGATAAACGCAATATATACAAATAATAATAATAATTTAATAATTATCATAAAATGCTATCAGTACTCTCAATCCTAACTCAGGTTTCATTGCAGTGGTGTCGTCATTGATGCTGCTGAAATGATTTATGAATGTTGGCTAGAAGCGCATGGACAATTTGAGACTACAAAGCTGTCACCAGGAACTCTGTATGAAGTTGCGTTTGTGGTCAAGCTGAAAGATTCAGCTGAAGGATGGGATGTTCCAGTGAATGTCAGACTCACTCTTCCAGATGGTAGCAAACAATGGCATGAAGTTAAGTTGAAGCAAATCCCGAGAGAGCAATGGATAGAGATTTCGGTTGGCGAGTTTAGAGCATCACCGGAAATACCTGGGGACATGGAGTTTTCGATGTATGAATATGATAGTGGGAAATGGAAGAGAGGACTTGTTATCAAGGGTGTTATCATTCGGCCTAAAAATTAAGTTGCAGAATGCTCTCAACTTTGCTTATGAGCAGAGAGATGATTTTCTGGGTTCTTCATATGAGACGTACAGAAATGGGAGAGAATTGCCTATGTAAGAAATAATAAGAACAGAATAATGAAACAATGATACAACTTACATTTCTGCTTCAATCTTAATGCCATCTGAAGCATCACAAATTCTTTTTTTTAACATAGTTGTTAATTAGTTGTGTTCATGATTTCAGAAAAACTTCTCAGTACTTGGCTAATAAAAGCTGCATTTCACAAAAAATTAAATTATGTACAATCACTTCCTTAAAGCCAATAGTACATTTAATCTACGAAATCGCACATCTGGAACACCGAGATTTCTGCTGAGGGAAAGGAAAACCTAGTCTTCATGCATCAGTTTAAATATCTTGGCACATGAGATTCTCCTAAGCAACAGTTCGAAATACTTACCATAATCTTCAAACACTTTCCATGAAAACGTAAACGAATATGTCCAATTATAGAAAGCCTACTAATCTGATACATTCTGGAACTGACGGTATGCTTTGAGGTTTCACAACTCTTTTTCCAAGTATAAATGGGAAAAGAAGGCATGCTGTGTTCAATCACTTGAGCTACAAGTTAATGTCGACATGCACACAAGGGTCTTTGGTTACTCTGATTGGATGATAATTTTTTTTTTGCTAATATAAGCTATAGTTTGATTGGATGAAAATTTTAATTTAAACTTTATAATATAACTTTTGTGTTACCTTAGAAGAAATCAAAATTTTATTTATTTTTAATACAAGCATAGAACTTTAATTTATTATAGTTATCACTTTTGTTTGCCATGAGCATGCTTATTTTTTTTTCCAACGAAAAAACAAAAGAGCATATTTATTTTGAATAAAAAAATAGTGAAATCACGTGAGTCAAGTTGAAATATCACTAAAAAACAACGTTGACTGTTGGTGAAGCACTGGATTATTATGTGCTTCATGCTTGAAGTTGATCCATCTAGATTCTAGCTTAGCTTAATGGCTAATTATTCAGCTGAACCTTCATCCTCTTTGACCTTCACCTCATCTTCCCATATACCAAACGCTTCAAAAACCCACAACAACCCATCTTCCTCCTCTGGCTGCGAACCTGTGCCTAGCCTTGAAGTCATCAGTTTGACCAAGCTCAGTTCCAATTTGGAGCAGCTGCTCTTGGTTGACTCTAGCTCTGATTACAGTGATGCCGATATCATCGTTGAGGGAAAATCTGTGGGTGTTTACAGATGCATATTGGCTTCCAGAAGTAGCTTTTTCGGCGAGCTATTCAAGCGAGCAAATGGGTCTTCCGAGAAAGAAGGTAAACCAAAGTACTGTATGAGCGATTTGCTGCCTTATGGAAATGTTGGGTATGAAGCTTTCTTGGTTTTCTTGAGCTATGTGTATACTGGAAAGCTGAAACCTTTTCCCATGGAGGTTTCAACTTGCGCTCACAGTGTATGTGCCCATGACGCATGCGGGCCTGCAATTAATTTTGCTGTGGAATTGATGTATGCATCTTCCGTTTTCCAAATGCCGGATTTGGTTTCAATTCTCCAGGTTGGTGTTCTGTTACTCTAAATTTCTGGTCAAAATTGATACCATATTAAGAAATTAGTCAAATTTCTGTTTTCTTTTGCGGTCAGCATGATCCATCCAACTTGTTTTTGGAATGTTAAGAAAGATTGTTCTGATTTTGTTATCTTTGTATCGGCAGCGACGGCTTATTAATTTTGTTGGGAAAGCCCTGGCAGATGATGTCATCCCAATCCTCGTGGTTGGTTTCCATTGTAAGTTGAGTCAGCTCATTAATCAGTGCATTGAGAGAGTGGCACGATCAGATCTTGATAGCATCTCTCTTGAGAAGGAACTTCCTGATGAGGTTGTGGAGAAAATTAAAATTATTCGCCACAATTCTCAGCAAGACTGTGACCCCAACATTGCAGCAGTGGACCCCTTGCGTGAAAAGAGAATCAGGAGAATACATAAGGCGTTGGACTCAGATGATGTTGAACTTGTGAAACTTCTTTTAAGTGAGTCTGATATAACCTTAGATGAAGCCAATGCTCTCCATTATGCTGCAGCTTACTGCGATCCTAAGGTTGTGACTGAAGTGATTGGTCTGGGTCTGGTTGATGTTAACCTCCGGAATTCTCGGGGTTATACAGTACTTCACATTGCTGTGATGCGCAAAGAGCCATCAATTATAGTATTGCTTCTGACTAAAGGAGCTCGTGTGTCAGAGCTGACATTAGATGGTGAGAGTGCTGTTAGCATTTGCCGGAGGTTGACGAGGGCAAAGGATTATCATTCAAAAACAGAGAGGGGAGAAGAAGCAAACAAAGACCGGATATGCATTGATGTTCTAGAGAGAGAAATGCAGAGGAATCCGATGGCTGTGGATGCGTCTATATCTTCTCAAATAATGCCTGATGACCTGCACATGCAATTGCTGAACCTGGAGAACAGAGGTAACATTTCTAAGATCATTTCTAAGACATTCTCAACTCATAAACTCTTTAGGGTTCTTTTTCCCCGAGAGGGAAACTGAATTATTGGATTATGAGCTTAAATCAATGAAATACTTTCTACCTTTTATATGGTCGTAATTACTCTCTCGTTGCTGGTTATACGTTTTAGTGATTGCTTTGATATATGAAGAAATTGGAGAACAAATTTTCCTGGACCAAAGTGTTATCTATCGAAAGGAGATATATATATTCGTACAAGTTAATTTTTGAGCTTCATATCAGTGGTGAATACTTTTGGTCCTTTGACATTTTTGTTTTGATCCTTTGACATTTTTGTTTTGATCCACTACTCTTCCTATGTCATATATCAATGAGTTTCTTGCAAAATGAATAGCTTGTTTGCAAACGCATCTTTTTACACTTGGTAATTTCTGGGTGTAGATATGTAGTCTTCTTATATTAACACATGAACTTCAACCTTTTGCCTTTCATATTTCTTCTTTTGATTGGTTGTGTGCCTTGAGTCTCTGACATGATATCTTTGACTTTTACTGATTAGATATCTGAATTGCATTATTTATTGCAGTGGCATTTGCCCGATTGTTATTCCCTACTGAAGCCAAGGTAGCCATGGCCATTGCTCATGCCGAAACATCTCAATTTTCTGGGCTTTCTTCATTCAAAGGCTCAACTGGGAATTTGATGGATGTTGATTTAAATGAGACTCCTACTGTGCAGAACAAAAGACTCCGTTCTAGGTTAGAAGCTCTCATGAAAACAGGTAAATGCAGCATGCTTTTAGTCTCTTAGATAGACATTGTGAGTATGTGAAGATAAAGAGTCCCACATTGGAAAGTTGAGAAACCTAGCATGGGCTTATAAGGAGTTGGGCTACTCCCCCCATTGCCAATTGGTTTTGGGGTGGAACCTCAACTTCCTTCAGACATATGATCTTTTATCTGTTATTGTGACTCTTCGCTTCTCAAAGGAATCACGACCTCTGGAAGGATGTTACACATCACGAACTAGCATATAGTATTTAGAATCTGCTTGGTAAAATTATCATTGATTTTCTCCTTTTAAGCCTTCTTGTTCTGTTGTGGCAGTCAGTACGGGTAGATCCTATTTTCCTCATTGCTCGGAAGTCCTGGATAAGTTCATTAAGGACGACCTTCCTGATTTGTTTTTCCTTGAGACGGGCACCCCTGATGAGCAGAAAATAAAGAGGACGCGTTTCATGGAGCTTAAGGAGGAAGTACAAAAGGCATTTAGCAAGGACAAGGCTGCTAAGAACCTCTTTAGGTTGCCTTCATCATCCTCCTCATCGTCTCTGAAAAATGTTGGTGAAAATCTGAAGGTTGGGAAATTATGAAGGCTTGTAAATTGTATCTAATTTTAAGCCTCCCAATTATGAACACATTTTTCCAAGGATGCTGATGAGAGCTTAGTAAGCAATCTTAGCAGATGCGGATTGTCATTTTAACTGCACGAACTAGCTAGTGTCCTAGTTTTGTAACTCTTATCAATCTTTGACTCTGATTTTAACAAAATATTGGTTCCCCTAATCATTTTGAGTCCTTAGTTATGTTGATGACAAACTTTGAGCGATGCGTTCTTGGATTCTCAGAGTTGATGGAAAATATCATGTTATTGGGGCTGTTTCTGGTAAACATGGAATTCAAAGCTAAAGAAAGGTAAGAAAGAGCAGAAAAAAACAGAGTAGAAGTTTGTAACCGGTCCAAGTTCAGTTATAAGCACACAAAGTCTACTTGTACATAATTTTACCTGCCCATCAGTTCCAAACTTGTAAAATGGATCCTATCATCTACAATTCTTTGATCGATTACAATTGCCTTTTATGAGAGCACTAAACATCAAGAAAAACAGTCTCATTCTATTGCAATTACCTATAAAACCAACTCAGCAATGCATGATAAGCCACAAGAGCACCATGCGAACCAAATGGTTGTCACCAAATACAGTAGAACATGAACATAATTTCACATCAACGAATTTATATATTTTTGTTTAATAAATCGAGCATTGAGCACGATGCAAACAAAATCGTTGTCACCAAATAAAGTAGAACATGAACAGAATTTCTTATCAATGAATTTATTTATTTTTGTTCAACAAACCGAGTATGAATCAATTAGTAAAGCCTTCTTATACAAGATGGTAGTTTAACCAAAACAATAGACAGGAGATTAGAAGGATCTAATTCTTAGCTCTTTTGCATTTTAAAACTTTCCCACATGGCTGGACCTTCTGGATGAACATCCACATAATATTTTACAAATCGTGCATCTGAACATGCAAGGAGAGTGCTCAAGGACAACATAGGCTTTGCTGCACCTTTCTCCCTTAGCCACGCATACATTGAGAATCTAAGATTAATCCTGTCCATATCGTAACATAAGTATGCTGGGAATGCCACCACAGAATCCAGTGGATAACGTAAACAGTTTGTTAAGCAACTGATCTTCATTTCAATCACATCTTTGCTCTGATTAAGAACATGAGGAGCTTGTTTAACCATGTTTGACACCACGTTGCAGTCCAAGCCAGCTTGTACGAGGCAATCAAACCTCTCTTGTAATTGGTCTCCTCTACCTCTGAATTTTTTCAAAGCTTTCATCATCTCATCTGAGTTTTCGATATATCCCAATCTCACCAAGAATGACGTTTTCTCCAGATGTTTACTGGGGAGTGGGGATATTAATTGATTTTTACCTTTGGACTTTGAAGCCAATGTCAACACCTTGTGTGGATCTTCCTTTATCATTTGGAGCAGGCCATCTCTCTTGACTTTTAAGTCTTTACAAACAGTTTTGGGTCTTTTAAAACTAGATGAACTCAGAAATTCCATGTCATTGGCTACAATGTCTGCCATCTCTTCTGTTCCCATTCCAATCTCAAACAGAAAATCTACTGCCAGCAAGAGATTTTTCATGCACTTAACTGACAAGACCTGTGGATTTTGCAAAAAAAGTGAATAAACCTCATTCATCTCCAGACCCAGTTTGAGTAACCGGCCAAACAATACATACACATTCTTTCCAGACCCTTCTAATAGTAATGCAGGATTTAATTCAAACAATGCACACATTTGCTCCTCCGTATAACCCACTTTATCAAGAAAATCCGTTGTATCAAACATTCTGTCCCAGTTGTATGTGCTGTTACCTGATGCATACCCTCCAATCCAATCCATTCCACGGCCTAAACGCTTCAATTTTTCATGAACCTTGACAAAGTCACTATTAACACCCCCAACCAAAAGCAACGGGCAACAACTAACAAGCTTAATAACTGTTGCTTTGCTTATCCCCAAATTTTCATAAGCTTGAAGTTTTAGAGCCAACACTCCATAGTCATATCCAAATATCTCCTTTGCCTCCTTATACATCTTACCGATGTTACTACGGGGGATTCCATAATTACATAAAGCATGAACGTTATCAGTCAGCACACAATCATCACTCAGATACATCAAGTGCCGTGGCAGAAACGATAGGAGCTCAGATGGACTCAAACCCAAGCTCTCAAAGAACGGTTCAAACTCATTAATGGGATTGTAGCGAAGAAATCGGGTTAAAGAACGTGCAACATCTTTCTCGGTATCAATGTTGGAGAGCAAATTTTGAAGAAAAATTGGGGAGTTTTTGCTAATATGCTCTGCATCCGTGAAGCTGAAGCTTCGAGTGCAATGCAGGTAATCAAAAAGGGTTGCCTGAGCCTCAGTTCTAGCATTTCGAGAAACCCGGTTAGCAAAAGGAGAATTGGGCGATTGTGCAGACTCGATGACAGAGACCTTCGAGTGATGGGTAAGTCTAGAACTGCAAAAGCATTGGAATTTAAGCGAAACAGAAGATGGGTTCTGCACAAAAGTGGTTCTTTCAAATACAGGCGAGAAGAGTACGAGGTGACTGAGTTGGGAAATCATTCTCGAAACCCTTCTGTGGATTCTACTCATTAACATGGAAAGTGGAGATGACAAAAGAGAGAAGCAGAAGATTCAGCGAGAGTTAAAGGAATGAGAAAAGCAGTAAAGACCAGAAATGCACAAAGGCTTAAAATTTCTAAAAGCCATAGAACACAGAGAGAGAGAGAGAGAGAGGGAGAGAGAGGAGAGAGAGAGAGAGAGAGAGAGAGATTGTTGTAATGTATGGGAGCAGGGTCAATCACATTTTTTCATAAATAGTTGAAAGTTAGAGAGGATCAAGATTGAAATAGCTTCAATTGAGAGGTTACCTTGGATGAATATCCTTTCAGGGTTTAAGCCCCCATTGCTCCTTTTGTTATTTCCGCTCTGCGGTTTTTAGAGAGACCAAGATGAAGTGTGCCCCTGTTTCTGCCGTTGTCAAAAACCCTAAGAATTTGGGAGTTTAAGCCGCCGCCTCCTTCTTTCTTTTACTTTTTTCAAATATTTTATTTACTTATTTATCTATTTACTATTTAGCTACCTCTTACAAAAAGATCATATTTGATACGTGAGAGACCATCTTGGAATGAGAAAAATTATGTACGACCATTATTCAATCTCAATATCATTATATTGATTTGATATAACTATTCAATTAATAAAAAATTCGACAAAAAAAAATCAATTAATAAAAAGGTGTCATTTGGAGATTGCATGTTGATGCCGAAACATGTTAGGGTTCAAGTTTGAGCTCCTTCAAATGTGATAAAGGCTTCTCTGGTCACAATTGAGCTGTCTATTGAGGATGATTAGGAGATTTGAGTAGGGGTGGGCATCAATTTAGTCGAACCAATTAAACCGGCCAATTCAATTTTAAATGATTGGTAATTTAAAAAATAAGCAGGAGAAGCTATCATCCCATATCATCATCACTTAGCTTAATTTGGTTCCGCCACTATGAGCCCATTTTCATTTTCATTTCATTTGGTGAGAAATATTTGATGGCATTGGCAACGTTCTTACCAAGCTTCTCAAGGTTATCAACTTACTATTATGTGTCAAGCAATATAATAGATACAATAGCAAGAGTGCAACACACTCTTTATTACAAGTAAAGCATATGAAAAAAGTGAAAAATGATACTTTTTTATTCAATGGGATTAGCTTCAGCGTCATATTGTATTAGATGGTTACATAGCTACAACTACAAGCCTCTACTCATAATATTATTCGACTTGGTCCTATCTATGATAACGGGCCTAAATTCACATAAATAATACTATAGACGCCAATTGATTAATAATTTTTTTTAAAATAAATAAAGCTAAAAGTGGACTTACCCCTACTTTTGACGTTATGGTAAGTTGATAACCCGTAAGATTTCATATAATACAAAAAAAAAAAAAAAAAAAAAAAAAAAAAAAAAAAAAAGTTTTGGGCTGGTGATGATGAAATGGTATCTAAAATTACTATGTCATCATAGAAAATATAGCTAAGAAATGATAAGTGATGCAACAACCATAATGATTGGGGTAGGATCAGGTTGGTGGTGGAATATTAGGGATTCTAGCTGCAACAACATAAGAAATTAGTGAACATAACTTAGAATGAAATCAAGAAAAATAATTATAAAGACCAAAAAATAATAAATAAACATCAAGACGTGGAGATCCAAATGCTATCATTCAAACCTATCATTCTACCTAGTTTACCTTCACTTTGTACAAATCTCACATTTCTCAAAACAAACTCTAAAATCCAAAATCTTAGCAAAATTTTTAAAAACTCTAAAATCCAAATAGCTCATCATCCAATCACGTTATTTTCATTTCTTACTTCCCTATCTGATTGGACAACATGAAATGCAATCCACCCACACTCGGCTCATGGTTCCCTTGGGCAATATCCAAGCACAAAGTCACACGTATCCACCCAAATTTCTTTGTCATTTTATTTTTTTGGCCCTTTTCCCAGTTTCCAGTTTCTTTTAACTAATAACTCCTTCCCTTTAATACCTGTTCGGTTGGAGATTCGAAGCATTCACATTTACATTGATTGCACCCCTTTGCTTCATTTTTCCTCTTCACGGGTTGTTTGCATTCCGTTTCTTTATCGTTGGTGACAAATTCGCCACACCAATTTGTTTTCTCAAATACCCATCTGCATCAGCTCCTCAAGTTTCCTTTTTTTTTTCATTGAGATTTGTAGATTTTGGCATTGGATTAGCTCTGGTTCCTCTGTGTCTGTTTTCCCAAATGCGCATCTGATTTGGCTGTTGATGTTGGAAGGATTTTGTTGGTTAAGTTATGGACTTCATGCTCATGGTAAGACCTCCATCTGATTTCTGAGCTTCTTAGCTTACATCCTCTGTTTTAGCTTGCTGGGTTTTCTCTAAAATTTTATCTGCGTTATGCTATTATATGGTCTCTGATCTAATGCTGAAGGTTGTTTTATATACCACATTTGATTTCTCATGTGTTTTTGGTCAGACTTTGGATCCGAGTTTGTTTTTCCCGTTTGATTGCATTTCCTGGTTTCCGGGTACTGCTTGCTTTCATTTACATTTGATAGTCTTTTTGAATCTCCTGCTTAGAGCTTGTCTTGATATTGCTCTGCAACCATTGTTAATATTGATGGGTTACTGCATTTTACATTGACTTCAGTGGCTCCACCACCACTTTTCAAATGACCACATCATCTCTATGGTTGGGTCATTTGGTTTTTTATTCAAATGAAGAAACTGTTTGTGGCCAGTCCTGGGATGAAATCTTGAGTTTTGTTGCTTGACCAATTTACAGCTACACTATCTAGTCCCTTTGATGAGTTTACTAGTGTACATTCATACATTTGTATTTGGCCAGTAGCTTAATTGGAGTTTGGGTCTTGCTTAATTTCTCTTATTTATCAGTCTGGGTGTTACTTGATCTCATCTTTCTAATTCTGTGTTTGGATGGTTCCTGCCTTTTAGTTTGCATTTGTTGTTTTCGTACGAAGGTTTTTGTTGTCTGAATTCTTAATGTATGTACAGAATAAAATACAAATCCAATGGATTATGTGTATAGAGATGAGCAATGAGATATCACATTTCTTTTGCTTGCAGCTTACCCATCTGCTAATATAAGCTACTCTGGTTAAAATGTCATAATCAGATGCTGTCAATACTGACCACATTAAAAAAGATGCTGATACGATGTGCATGTTTATGATTATGATTACTGTCCTGGTTGCTTACTTGCTCCTTGTGTCTGCTAATGGAAAGATGAAACAGGAAGGTGAAGAGAGGAAGACAGTACGAAAAAGTAAAGAAGGGAAATAAGAACGGGTAATCTAACATATTGCGATGGAAGTGTCTACAAAGACAGTTATGGCTATCAAGTCTTACCAAAATCAAGCGGGAGTGCTGGTTAAAAACTATTTATTAGCGGATCCCTTCATACCATATACTTCCATTATTGGAGGCATAATTTTGTGCAAAATGGTATGCTCGTAATCTTTTAATTCCTTTAATGTTTAAAATGGTTCTTAAAGTTGAGCCCTTGGGTGCCCCATTCAGGTTGTAGATTTGGTCTTCCTTATCAACTCATTATATATTGCAGGTATATGATCTTACCCAGTTAATTAGTAGATTTTACATCAAGACTTATGCTGGCCTTACAAAAATCCAACGAATTGAGTGGAACAGTCGGTGAGGATTCCCACTTTCCAACTGTTGAATTTCATCTGTAATTACTTGTGCATTTATTAATTTGAAAAAGTAACTTTTGCAGAGGTATCTCCAGTATTCATGCCATTTTTATTACAGCTCTATCCTTACACTTTGTGTTCTGGTCCGATCTCTTTTCTGACCAACCTCATGCTGGCCTTGTTACATTTCGAAGCTCACCACTGTCCGTTTTTGGATTAGGGGTATGTGCTTCCTATTATTATCTTATGGAATTGGCCACTCAATTAATATCAAGGTATCTGCAATCCCTACACATTGTAAGGAATGCTTAAGTGAGCCAAAAATTAGTTTTAATTACTTATCAATACATTTATGAAGTCATGATGAGATTATCATCTGACCATGCCTAGACTAGCAGTTAAATATTAACCCATGAGCCAATCTATCAAGGATTCATGAGTGATCTGGACCTTTTGTTTTATGGGTTTGTCTAGATACACTTTTTTTGTTTGGTATCTCCTAACATATTTCTAAAGGAACTTAACTAAGATGATTTATGACAGGTTTCTGTTGGGTACTTCTGTGCGGATCTAGGAATGCTATTATGGCTATACCCTTCTTTAGGTGGAATGGAATATGTAAGTAATTTCCCCATGGAAGACAGTTCTTATATTAGTCTAGAAGCACACGCATATACATATATGTTTATATGTCTGTTCTAACCTTCTTGACATCTGGTCAGAAGCATAATTTACCAATGTTATAACAAGTCTCAACCAAAACCGAAAAAAAGAAAGAAAGAAAGGAAAAAGAACATTTGCATATAATTTAAGTTCATTCCTAGTCACATTTGATTAGACTCGGCGCTTCCCTATGGGCATCGGTTTCATTTTTGGCTCTCTTTTACAAACAGGGAGTTGCTGTGTTTTCAGTTTAAAGTATGTTCTGTTTTATTTTTGTAGTGGTTGGCAGATGTGTTGTTAGACTTTTATGGTTGTACTTTTTTGGTGTACCAGTCCACCAATCTCGTACTCTTTTTGGTAGTAAAATGAAGTTGTTTCCTTTCAAAATAAAAATAAAAATAATGAATAAATACTAGGTAACATATACACAAATCTTTGATCAGAAATGAGTAACGTTTGCCATGTTAAAAGCTGTATAACTCTTAATATGGTGGTGTTCAATTACAGGTTTTCCATCACTCACTTTCTGGAATTGCAGTAGCTTACTCCATGTTTTCTGGAGAAGGGCAACTTTATACATACATGATCCTCATCTCTGAGATCACTACTCCAGAGATCAATATGAGATGGTAAGTTTTACAAGCAATATGGTGTTAAGGTTCTAGTATTCCATCTTTAATATAAACTTTGGGTTTCATGAAGGTATCTTGATACAGCTGGTATGAAGAGGTCCAGCGCATATCTCATAAACGGCATTGTGATATTTTTGTCATGGCTGGTCAGTGAAGTCCTCTTGAATTATTGTCATTTTGTTGTTAAACGTGGTGGCTTGATGCTCAATATGTACTCATATCATATAGTGGATCGATTTAGTTGCAACTTACAACACTTTCCTACTACTTTCACTTGTAAGATAAAGTGAATTTTTCCATCTCCAAGGAAAACCACTCTGATCCCAATTTTGCCTTCAGAGCTTCAACTCTCACATAAAGTTCTTGTTTCGGCAATTCAAATGTAGGAGGACTAATTCATTTCTTAGCCATCTATCTTAATGTGAGCCAGCATCATTAGCATGTATTGTTGTTTTTGAAGTTGCCGGATTTTCCATTTGGTTATACAACTTTTATCTCTGTTAGATATGCTTTCTGAAAAGAATATATGGAATGCAGGCTGCAAGAATTCTGCTGTTTGGTTACATGTTTTACCATGTTTACTTGCACTATGATCAGGTAAGTTGCAATTCCCTGAAGATATGTACCTACCACCTACACTTGATTTTGCTTACTGTATACTTTCACTGTCTTGAAAAGTTGATTTATACTTCAGACCATGCTGACGTAGTTCTCTGAGAAGGGGAATGAAATTTTGGATCTTTACATTCTGCTTTTTTCTTCCCTCTTTTGGGGTGCAGGATGGCAAGCATCAGTGTGCCCCTGATTATGCTTCCTATTGTCTATTCCTTAATAAAATTTTGAAAGTTGCATATGTAGTGCAATAGTTTTCAACTGTTCTAGAAGATTCTACATTGCTCACTTCCTACTTATTGAAACGAAGAAAGAAAGAAAAAAGGCCAAAACATCTCTTCTTTTGCGTGTTCCCTTCAAAGCAATCTTTGTGAACTTTTATGAATTATCAAGTGCTATACAACTGCAGAATTATGTGATTTGTCAGAACTAAATTAATTTTAATTGGATGGGCAGGTCATCCAGATGCACACTTTTGGATATCTGCTGGTCTTTGTTGTGCCATCAGTGCTAGCAATAATGAACTTGATGTGGTTTGGAAAGATTATCAAGGGATTGATCAAGCAATTAGCCAAGATGCAATGATGGATATATATATCTATATACGTTCCAATTGAGTCTAAAGTCCTCCCCTTAAGATGGGTCTGCGCTTGTGCATTCTTCTATTTTGCTCACTGTATAAATGATAGAGGCCTCGAGGGGTTAAAAAAGAAATCGAAACGGGAGGCATTTTGGTGGCCACAACTGTTGTAAATGGTTCTAAAGTTTGTTTGTTGTTAAATTACAAGGGGAATCCAATCTAAGATCTCTACTTTTTACCTCACTCCACTGTATGCCACTAGAGTTAAAGTTTAATGGATGTAAGTGATTCAAAGCTGGATACTTTATTGTTTCGACAATCTCTTTAATTTTTCAAATTAGTTTTAGAACAATGCTTGTTATGGATGAGTAGCATTATCTCTTTACAGGTTGAGATGGGCAAAACATGATGTAGATTTGCCAACTTTTTTATTTTTTATTTTTTTTGGGGTCAAAATAGATTATACAAAGGGGAATAATGCATGAGGAGCCAAGCATTTTTATTTTTCTTATGCCATGAGCATGAGGAAAGCCTGATCTCAAGCATAACTTGTGATCTATTGATTGGTATGAAAAGCAAAAATTAGGGTCTGTTTTTCCCCTTTATCTAACTTCAAAACTCTAATGGGTGGTTGATGACTACAGAAGTAGGGAAAATCTTGAGGATTATCCTAGTACTGCGCCTGCATAGTTTTTGTTGTTCTTAGTACTTTTAATTACTATCTAAAACAGAAAAGCCACTAGAAGTATCTACTTTCTATTCTGAGTGGACAGGGAAAATCTCTTAACTAATTTTATAATTACTTACTAAAAATACCCCAAGTTTAAAAAGAGTTGTGAAAGCATGTTGTACTGCACATTTTGTGTACGACAGTGTTTGCGAGTGACCTTTTATATGTAACAAGAGGAAGGTATCGAAAGCGAAAGGAAAACCAGTGTACCTAATAATGCCATAATGGACTTGATAGTGGAACTGTTGTTGATGTGTTTCCTTTTACCTTGGGACCTTTTTTTTATTGCTTTATTTATAATCAAATAACTTTGCAAATGGACATTCTCACTCAAATCTGGTCCACCGAGGTATCCAAAGTTTTGACTGAGTAGGTCTCCCTAGCTGGTGATGCAGCCGCATAGCGGCATAGTCCATATCATATAATTGTGTGTGATTCAAATTTACGGTCTCACATTGATATGTTTCAAACAATCTCACTGAAATCTGGCCCACTGAGGTATCCAAAGTAGTTTTGAAGCTCTTCCTCAAACTAATTTCATAGTGAGAAGAATAGTGAGGCCATGTGAGTCATGAGTGAGTAGTCTTTTTCCTGCTGATGATGTAGCCGCATGGTACACACAGATCATAACTGAATTTGGAGAAAGCTAATGTGACAAAAGAACTTTATAATTTTTAAGGTAAAGCATTCCAACTAAAGGTTATATAGAACCATTTATCATTCATAGTAGTTAAGATCATAATATTCGACCAGCAGCCAATATCTCAGCACCAATGTTAATTGAAGCAGAGGTGGTGTCACTTCCCAATATCGTGCTTAATTTATTAACACTCCATCTAGTACTTTCTTAATCATCAGTTAAACAAATGCAGTCAAGTACACTAATTAGTAATTAGTGGCATGCTAATTGATGTTTTGATTCTAATCAAGTGAAAGTACAGCCTACAGCCTAGCGTTATTGTATATACAAATCCAAATCTTCCTGAAATAGTAGCAACTGCCATGTGAGAATCGAAATGGCAAGCAAACAGTTGATCAGTCCTCGTCAGTATGCCTGTATTCTGAGGAAGGCTCCAAACTTCCATGTATATATGACGTGGTCCAGATTAATTATATTGTTCTTGATTGTATTATATGTTGAAACCCCATAAATTCCGCGGAGTTTAAGTTGAAGCTCACCCGATTCGCAGGGCCATGATCATGGGTGCCACTATCTTGCAGAGCTTTTTGTTATGAGCATGGTTTGTTCTTTTGGTTAGAGGAGCTGAGCTCGTTTACTATATAAGCTAAGTTTTGAGCTCACTTAAGTTATCTCTATAGACTCTATTCTATTGATCCCAATGGCAGCCTTCACTAAAACCTGCACTCTCCTTTTCCTTCTAGCCATTGCAATATTCTTGAACTTCAACCAAACCCTAGCCAAGCACAAGCCAAGTTCTACTTCCCTGGTACTTGGTCTAACACATTCTTATACTTCCCTTCCCATTCCAAAAGCCTCTGCTAATTCGAAAAAGATGCCGTCACAAGTGTCAGATATGATGGAGCCCTTGAGGGGAGTTAGAGATGGGTACTTGATATCTCTTAACTTAGGGACACCCCCACAAGTCATTCAGGTTTACATGGATACTGGGAGTGATCTTACTTGGGTTCCTTGCGGGAATCTTTCTTTTGTTTGCATGGATTGTGATGACTATAGGAACAACAGACTAATGCCCACATTCTCTCCTTCTGCTTCCTCTTCATCACATAGAGACCTCTGTGGTAGCTCCTTTTGCCTTGACATCCATAGCTCAGAAAATTCTATCGATCCGTGCACCATAGCCGGATGCTCACTCACTACCCTTCTTAAGGCCACATGTCCTAGACCATGCCCTTCATTTGCTTACACTTATGGGGGAGGTGGGGTTGTCACAGGGACACTTAGTAGAGACACACTTAGGGTTCATGGAGTTAGTAGCACACCCGATAATGTTGTCACAAGGGAAATTCCCAAGTTTTGTTTTGGGTGCATTGGGTCTACTTATAGAGAGCCTATTGGGATTGCAGGGTTTGGTAGGGGATCACTTTCCCTCCCATCCCAATTAGGGTTCCTTAAAAAGGGCTTCTCTCATTGTTTCTTGCCTTTCAAGTATGCAAACAACCCTAATATTTCAAGTCCATTAGTTGTAGGAGATGTTGCTATTTCTTCTAAGGAAAACTTGCAATTCACTCCAATGTTGAAGAGTCCCATGTACCCTAACAACTACTACATAGGTCTGGAGGCTATCACAATAGATAATGCCAGTGCAATTACCCAAATGCCCTTAAGCTTGAGAGAGTTTGATGCTCAAGGCAATGGGGGAATGTTGATTGACTCAGGAACCACTTATACTCATTTGCCTGAACCACTTTACTCTAACCTTCTCTCACTTCTCCGCTCGCTGATTTCATATCCTAGAGCCAAGGAAATGGAGACAAAGACTTCTTTTGATCTTTGTTATGTGGTCCCATACACAATCAGTACTCTCACAAAACCTGATGACCTATTTCCTTCAATCACTTTCCATTTCTTGAAAAATGTGAGTCTTGTTTTGCCCCAAGGCAATCACTTTTATGCCATGGGAGCTCCAGCCAACTCCACTGTGGTGAAATGCTTGTTGTTCCAAGCCATGGATGATGAAGATTATGGGCCAGCTGGGGTGTTTGGGAGCTTTCAGCAACAAAATGTTGAGGTTGTTTATGACCTTGAGAAAGAGAGAATTGGGTTTCAACCAATGGACTGCGCTTCAGCTGCGGCCTCTCAAGGACTGCACAAAAAATAAGTGATCCCAAGCTGTGGGGTAGTTGTGGGTGGTTCTTGCTGTTATGCCAGTTGTGATTTTCAGCAGACAAAATAATGAGGCTTGGCAGTTTGGATATTTTTGCTTGATGTTTTCTTTATTAGTTCCTTTTCTTTGATGAATTTAGTAATTGGTTGTTTTGTACTTGGCTAAATCTTTGTTAAATTGATCTCCATGCCTTAGATGGTCAAGAAAATGAGCTGGTTTTATTCCAATTGCTTGGTAAGGAGGGAACAAATTGAAGTGGAGAGCAGTAATCAGTAATATTCTCTATAATTAATGGCTGAAATGAAGCCTATATGTGGCCATGCACATGCAAAATAATTAGATATAAATAAACAAGTAGAGACATAAATATATGCCAAAAAGTGTTCAAGGAATCTCTGGCAACTATAATAACATTGCTTTTCCATTGTATATATTCAAATGTTATAAGTTTATATCATGATAGTGTAGTCAATATCATGATAAGCTTACTATGCGCACGTTATCAATGATAAGTTTAGAACTATGAGCATTAAATACTGACATAGATGAATAGAGAAGGCTCAAGAACTAGTGGAAAACATGCAGATATGACTTAGCCAAGTTGGGAAGAGCGGTGTGCTAATCACTCTGCACCCAAGTTCGAATCTCCCTCTGCGTAGTTTAGATTAAATTAAAGTAAAATATCATTTGTATCAAAAAAGAAAAAAGAAAAACTAATTTCCCTACAAAATGAGTCAATACTTTGAATAACTATTTCAGTGTCTTTAGCGATTTTCGGGTCTTTAAATGATTGCAACTAGCTATGGGAGTACCATCAAGAAGTGGCATTTACTTATGTAAAATTATGTAAATATTCTTACAAGTATTGACCATCTTATAACTCTTCAATTTTGTGAAAAAGTTTAAGGAGCTTCTGATAGTCTAAACTTCTCTAAACCACGAGATACCTCTTTATCCGCAAATGCTTCTGGCAATATGGAAGTATTACTTCAATAAACTGCAATAGAATTTCAACTGGTTTTTACTGCATAATTGTGTATGTGCTTGCTAAAAATTGCCTGAACTATGTTGGTTTCTCATTAAAGAATAAGAATTCTTATTACTCATTACCAAACCTGGGTATTTGCAAATCAGAGTTAGCATGCCAAACCATTTCATTACATGAAAAAACAATCTCCATACGCTTCTCACACTTTGTGAAAGTATCTAAACAAACATGCATATACAAATCTGAATAAATGTACACATACATGGGAAACTCCGTAAAACGATACATCATTTCCACTGTGAGTTATGCAACTATTATGGAAATAACCAAGCACGCAGTGGCTGAAGGCACCATAGAACCTCTATGAGCAACAGGATGAGCTTGCTACCCTTTCAGAAGGTCTGTCCATAAGAACCATTCCTGCAGGGTTCTGCACAGGCTGCACTCGAGGTAATCTCTTTGCTGTACCCAAAACAGAAGGAAACCATAATGATTAGATCACTGGATCTCGATAAAACAAATACCACATGCAGAAAGACTTTTGCCTAAATCCACATTTTAACAGTTCAATTTCTTTGCTGGAATGCGTAGATGCTCTTTTTAATGGTTGGGAAATGGATAGATGCTATTGGCTTTTAGAAAGACCCTAAGATGCCCAGTAAAAGTATTTTGAAGAGAACTTCTGAATAAATTACCCAACGCCCAACAGCAATCTTGTGAAGTAAGCAGGAAATTAAAGACATAATCCTAACACAAACATATAGAACATATGGAACTTTATGATTCAGATACCGACTAATGATTTGAAACTCATTTAAGTACCTATCTCATAGAAGATGTCATTCACATTGTCTGCAGTTTTTGCAGAGGTTTCCAAGAAGAAAAGGCCATTCTCTTGAGCATATGCCTGTGCATCCTGCAACAACAGCACCAATTATATGAGCAACACTCAAAATGGATAAACATATAACAAACAGATTCTAGTCAAATTAGTTCCACTAACCCGTCACACTTTATTATCCAGTTCCTTTGGTTTGTCTATTTTCTAAAGCAACCTCTTATTGATCACAAGACAAGCATTGAAGGAAAAGAAATCCGAAAAGCTCTTAAAATTTCTTATGGATATGATAGAGAATAGGTTTCTTTTTCTTTCTTTTCTCTAAAGATGGCACTAACCCTCCTGAAAGGCGACTTTGTCTTTTCAATTTCCAGATGTTGACATATTAGAACTCCAATAATTGTTGAATCACTTTTCCTTAATCCACAGGGAGCCTGAAGATGAGTTTGTTTAATGGCTTCCTAGATTTGAAAACTAAGTTGGTCTGTTTCCACTACAATCCATTATGTCTTTCTATGGATAAGAATACAAGTTATGTGTCAGTTGTTGGCTGGGATATATATCTCCATGTCTGGAGCTATTTGATTCTAACTGAAGTATGTCAAAATCTCTCCTAAATTTTTCAAGGAAACAACTAAAAACTTTAATTTTACTTTACTTATATCTTCTTCCCCATACATTGTCATATGTTGAAAACACTAATTTCCCAAACCAGATCCCTGTATCACAAATTGGAATACATGATCTGGATTACAATCCGCAGAGTAAGGAAATTGGTTACTTTGCTTCAAACTTTCAAAACTAAACATCGGAAACAAAGAAAAGAAGAAAATGATAGCTTGCAATCATCCATATCACAAGAACAAAGGATTGTTGACAGGAAAATGATGAGTGATATAGAAATTTAACCAATAAGAAACCAAAACAAAGCGGAAAAATAATAACTTACCTCTGCTGCTACAGTCCTTGCCTCTACCAAATCTGCTTTATTCCCAGCTAGTGCCATAACCATGTTTGGATTGCCTTGACATAAGGTAAAAAATAAATTTATATATAATTAACATAATATTGGCAGAAACAAAGAAACCGGTACCACAATTAATATACACAAGTTACTATGCCCCATCAATGAATACATATATATATATATATATATATATATAATCACAGTTACAGCCAGCAATCACCACCTGATGATGATTGTCCAAAATAGCCAAGAAATTGACAAGTATAAAACATTAATAGAAGGATGTCTATAGGTGACAAGAAAGTGCAAGATACCTTGTGATTTGAGTTCCAGTACCCATTTTTTTGCTCGCTCAAATGAGGCCTACAAGAGAAGAAATAAATTTTAAATTTCTGTTTTAAGATGGATTTGACTAAACCTATCTCGCAAAAAAAATGAAACACAAAAACGATTCAGACAGAATCAAATCTGAACTCAGAAAGGCTAAATATCCTTTAATTTTAGTGAAGTAATGCAAGACAAGACAAAAGGCCAACTACTGACAATGTCGAAGAACTGAACAGAGAAGGCCCTAGATCATTAGAAAAAACTTTATAACTTTACTGCACTTCCTAGTGAAATTCATTATCTTACTCCTTGACTCAGTTTTCTGCTATAACCTATACACTCCAATAATCTATCCGATTTTTTTAATATACTAATTATGGGTATTAAAAACATATGGTGCATTCTATAAATCCAAATTTCAATGAAAATGGGGCAAGTGGGAAAAGCAGCAGCTTTAGCCCCAGACCTCAATGATCAAACCACTTGCTTCAAAAAGTCCAATGCCTCATCCTCAACTTCACCATCAACAACAAAATAAATTTCAGGAAAATCTAAAATTTAAAACAATGGAGAAGAGATCTTGTCTTAATATACTCACTTGATTTGTTAAATCATACACAATTATTGCAGCAGCAGCTCCTCTATAATACATTGGAGCCAAACTATGGTACCTCTCTTGACCTGCTGTATCCCAAATCTCAAATTTTACAGTTGCGTCATTTACAGCCAACGTTTGTGAGAAGAAGGCAGCACCTATGGTTGATTCCTACAATATCATACAACAAAAGTAAAGGTCTGGATAAAAAAGACAAAGCTTCATTTCAAAGTTGTAGAAATCCCAAAAATTTACAACAGAACCAACCTGGAATTCAATAAATTGTCCCTTCACAAAGCGCAACACCAGACTAGACTTCCCAGCTCCAACATCCCCAAGAAGCACCTGAAGCAGAATATCAAACATCACTCTGATGATCACTAAAGGCAATAACCAAAGAAAAACAATAAACAGATAAATAAAAGATTTCGTCGCATAATGCTAAACTACATATGCCTACGTAGAAAGAAATTAGTAATTTCGTATATTCAAGAAACAACTTTAAAATAAATGACAACCTTTAAACCAAACATTCTGTTTTCTGGTACACATCACAGACCAAGATAGCCATGCAACTTGCGCAGTCACAGTATGTTTATCATTCTCAGAGACCCTCGGGTTTGAATATCAGAACCGGACCAAGATAAACAAGAGCACAGAAGAGTAATACTTCAGTCTAAACAGCTACGAAACATAACAAACTTTTGTTGCAGCCAGAATGCTAACAAGCACAAATACAAATATAAAAAGAAGAGCAAAATTTACATGTTAAAGATAATAGCATCTGATTTCCATTTCCAGGGTTTAAAAGTAAAAGTAAAGAACTATTCTTAGCCTACATCATTGAAATTAATGAAAGAAAACCCACAAACGTACAAAGAATGAACTGTCATAAAAAAAAAAGGCAAGCATCTGAATATTATGCACAATCATGCAGACCAACAAAAGCGATAAGGAAGGTTGGCAATCCAAAATTCACAGCCGAAAATCCAATCATACCCATCTCAAATTATCACAAAAATATGACAGTAATGGATTATCGAAACAATTTCCGTGAGAAACAAACCAAACCCACATCATAATTCTCATTCAATCATACACCGACCGATCAGAACTACAAAATTAACTAAAACCCAATTGAAATTACAGAGACAGGACCATATGAAGACAAATCAGAATCATAGAGTTGTATAAAATTAAACAGAAAGATAGCTAAAAAAAAAGGGGCTTTTTGTACAGAAGAAGAAAAACAGACCAATTTGGCATTGATGTTCTTGTTCCCAGTGGTGGCCATGAGAGTGACGGATTGCAGAGACAAATACTTGAAGAATCGAGCAGAATTGAGGGAGAACGCAGACGTTGACGAAGAAGAAAGAGAGGGGTTTTTTGGGTTGAAAGAGAGAGGGGTCTGTTTGTTGATGCAAGCAGAAGCAGAAGAAGGCAATAGAGGAAGGATCCTAAAAGCCGAAGCCAAGTCTACGAAGACCCGAACTTTTACTGAAGCTCCATGTTTTTTACGGTGACTTACGTAGATTTTTTTAACTTTGTTTATTGCAATGTTTTCCACGTGGCGAGCATAACGGACAAAATATTCTTCTTGCTTTTAGGTCCACCCAGCCCAGCCCAGCCTGTCTACTCAGCTCCCACTTGGACACGTTTTCGCTTCACTACCAACAAAAAAAAAAAAAATAAAAAAAAAAAAAAAAAAAAAAGAAAGGTCATTGGACATTGGGCGTTCAACAATAATATTAGGCCCAATATATACATGGAAGGGCCTACTAGTTTTCAGGTTTTGTTTTTCTTTTAGAAGCAATATTGAGAAAGGGGTGCTGGACCTCGAACGCAGAGATATCACTTAAGCTACAAGCCCTTTTAATGCCTAACCAATTATATTATTTTTTAATCATTGGGGATGAAGGTTTTGATTTTGAGACCTTTTACACTATTGAGAAGAGAAATACCATTAAGAGCTAGTTGATATTATTAGGGAGGAGAAATCGAACCTACGACCTCGGGTGCATGAGTAACTATTTGAGCTACAAGTTTCTTTGCAAAATATTTCTTTATTTGTAAGGCTTGGTTTGGGGTGCCAGCTCAAACTTGCTATTTACAATTAAATTAGACCACAGTCTAAGATTGGTGTTTGATAACCTAAAAAATACACTGACTTACAATGAAACAACGGACCAATGTTATGGCTAACATGGGCTATAGTCCTGGTGAAATTTTTCTTCTTCTTATAATTAGTATATATGTTTTAAAGTTAGCCCATCTCAAAATTGAACAGTTCATTTTTAGGTAAATTTAACCCATCTTACTTTGAAATTCTAGGTGTGTCCTGAATGAAATTGAGTAATAATTCAAGTGGTTATTGACAGAGGTTGATTGAAAAGCAAATTGTGAAGTCGTTTAAACGTACACTCTTCTTTATATCATATGTGAACAAATTAAACTCCAAATAACATATATTAAAAGAAAAGTATTGACTTTGAAAAACCAGTGTTGTGTTGGAATAAGGACTCTGTTGAAAGTGCAGAGGATTATTCATCAAAGAAAAAGTGGAAATGAGATGATTGAATTAAGCACAAGGAAAATAAAATAAAATAAAATAAAAAGAAAAAGAAAAAGAAAGGGGGTTAATATAATGTGTGTATTGTTTTTATATGAAAAGGGTAAAAAGGCTGAAAAAAGCGATTATATATCGAGGCTCCCTGTGATGCCCTCCAAGGGAAAAAGTTGAACTTTTGTCAGAAGCACACAGCGAGGCTACCAAATTAGCCATAATGACCCTCTCTCCTCTCACACTCACGCACAGATACCTACTTTTGTTTTTGCAACAGCCTTTCTTCTTCTCACTCACTCACTCACAGCCTAACAGGAGGAGCAACAAAGAGAAGAGAAAGAATACAAAGAAACCAATAATACCAACAAAAGATGGCATTTTGGTCATTGTCCAGCAAAGTCCAAAGGCATCCCCTCTCTCTCTCTCTCTCTCTCTCTCTCCCTCTCTCTCTCCCCTCAGAGAGATCATTGACTGGTCGCCCTTTGACCAGTCTTTTGGGAAGCACTTGTCTCTGTGTTTTTGCAGTACTGCTTCTCAGTACTCTCTCTCTCTCTCTCTCTCTCTCTCTCTCTCATCTGTGCCTCATAAATGATACATGAAGAACTCAGCTCAATCCCCACTTGATTTTACACTGCGTGAAATACACTATCCAATTATGATATATAGAAATACCATATTGTGCTTAATCTCTATTAAGTTGATTTCATATAATGAGACTGTGCATGGGATCCAATTTCTCTTCTATGCAAGACTGAGAGAAACTTTTGAATGACCATAGGAGATCAAAGATAATGATATGACAAGCTACTTTTACTTTGTGTGGAAGGAAATTGAAATGTACCAAAGATATGTGGCATGATGTGCAGCTGCGGATGAAGATTAAATATATCCAACTACTTTACTTTGATGATGATATTGTAAACACCATGGTTTGCAGATTTTATTGGAAAGTCCATGGTGATATCAAACTAATTTGCTTCTTAATTAACATATTAATTTAAAATATATATAAAAAACCCAACATATAATTAGAAATATTAGCAAGTGAATCCAATAACTTGAACTAAATTACACAATTTAAATGTGGGATTCTCTAATGATCAGAAGGAAAATAGAACAAATTAATGGGGTTTATAAATTATTTACAACCAACCAAATAGGATCAATGAAATGCCATCTTTCTCTCTATCTTATCTTATAAATAAATGGAAATTATTTGTACTATTAATTAAGATGATGATGAAGATGATGATGAGATTAATTTGGAGGTGATTGGTTCTTGTTGGAAGCCAAGGAATGGATAGAATCTGCTAGCTTGTTAATGGCATCGATGAGACCATTAATGCCTTGCCTGTTGATCTCAGTTTTAGTTTCCTCAATCTGTAGCCTTCTCTCATGCAAACTCAAAAGATCTCTGTGCCTTCTCTCTTCTCTCTCCTCACAACCCTGAAGTGCTTCTGCAATCATGGAAGCACCTCTGGAGATGGCAGTGCCCACTTCACTTGAGGTGCTTGCACTCACAGTTCCACTGGTTCCTTGATCTCCACCTCCTCCTCCACCTCCACTTGCCCTTCTCCTCCTTTTGGCTGGTGAGTCTGAATGTTCATGGCTTGTCTCAGAATCTGAGCTTTCACACGTCTCCAAAAGGTAAATATGTGGCACCAAATCAACCAATCAATATATACTAATTCATCAGACCATTAATTATTACCATGCACACAATAATTACCAGTACCAATCAACTTTTAATTCTCCATGGGATAATCAATATGATGGAAAAGATTACTAATGTGCTAGCTAGTGCACTTGTCATTTGGTGCATTACATTCCATTATCTTTTGATTGGAAGAATAATTTTTATTATAAAAAAAATGTATCAGTGGGCAAATTGGCTTCAAAGATACACATAATTCACACCTACCAAATTAGAGAGGGAGAGAGAGAGAGAGAGAGAGAGAGAGAGTACCTACTGTGGGCATAGGTTGTGAGTATGGAAGAGTAGGTGGTGGTTGAACTGCCAATGGAGCTGGGGGTAGAAGAGGCAATGCTGCAATTGGTGGAACTGAGATGTGATGTTGCAAAACTGGAGGAGGCAGTGAAGCCTGATGGACACTAGTGCTTATAATAGGCCTCTCCACAACATATCCAATGGTGGGATTGGGAACATTGGAACCAGAAATAGAAGCTCCACCTACCACTCTGATCTGATGATGGCCTGCTTCTCTCTTCTCCACCACATCAACCAAAGCCTCATATATCTGAGGCACCATGTTGGTAGGTAAGTTCCTATCTTTCCTCTCACTCTTCTCAAGCTTCCAATAAGATGCTGCTTCTTCCTTCCCTTCCTTCCTCTCATATTCCCTCACCTTCTTGTAATCCCTCATGAGATTGTCCCATTTGTCATTGCACTGGTTTTGGCTTCTCAAACACCCTTTCTTCCAACAGTAGTCTTCTACCCATTTCCATCTGAGCTCAGCTGGTTTGCTTGATCTTGTTTCACTACCTGCAGCATCCCCGCTTCTCTTCATTCTTCTCTCATCGTCCATCTTCTTTGCCTCAATCAGAATCATTGTCTCCCCCACTGTCCAGTTCCCTTTCCTATAATCCCTCATAATAACACTACTAGTACCATTACCTCCTTGATCAGCCATCACTAAAATGCATGCAGCATCACCCCCTAAAGAATACTAAAGCACAAACAATATTATATACAGAGAGAGAGAGAGAGAGAGAGAGAGATTCTTTAAAGAACAGGAGGGAAAAAAAGGGTCTAATAGGTCTTTTATGGAGAGCTTGATTTGATGGAGGTTGCTGTGGTGTTCAAACCAGTCAAATCTCTATAAGATTGCTAATTTAGGCAAAAGGGTCATTAATGAGTATACCTTAAAAAGGATCTATGTCTCTTAAACATCTCTGTTAAGGGGTCTTGATGTTGACTAGATGTGTATGTGGTTTTGTGGGTGCAGTAGAGGGGTTGGCTTAATGGCTTTCGCATCTAAAAGGGTGAGAAGAAATATGGGAAGTATAGATTTTTTTTGGGTCAAAATATGGGAAGTAAAGATGAGCTACCTGCTTTCACCACATATGTATATGCAGCATATGCTTTTTTATTTCTCTATTTATTATTGTCTTAAAATTTCAACCTTTTTGAGGTTAAGGATTGATTTTGCACCATATAAAATCTTCAAAGATTAAAGTTTCAAATCTGAATCTACTTATTCAAACCACTGCTCCCCACAGTGAGGGAGAGAGAGAGAGAGAGAGAGACTGAGAGAGTACCATTATAAGAAAAGGCCAAGTAAATCCATTCAAACTGACATCAACAAACCCCAAAAAATTTCAGAGAGAGAGATTTTCAGAGAAAAAGATGCAGTGCCTGCTGGCATTAGAGAGAGAGTCAATGCATGAGTACCACTTACCCCTACACGTGGTGTAGCCTCTCATCATCATATCACACCCGTTCTTTTTTTTTTTGATCGGACATATCACGCCCGTTCAAATTGCAGAATTTAGATTCTTTTCTTTTTAACCTAACCGCAGCTAAAAGAGAAGATATATAATACAATTCTCCAAGTATATATTAAAGAAATAAAGGACTTCTAAACATCTTGTTAGGCTTTGCTTCTTTTGAGTACAAACGATAGTCTAAATAAGAGGGAAGAGAGATTTTACACACACAACTAAAATGTCATTGAAGTTCGAACATGAGAATATCACTTAAATGAACATAAAATCAACCTTGACAAAGAGGCCAATGGATTGGTAATATGTAACTTAATTACACTTGCTGTCAAACTTAAGCTAGTGCATTATGTTTAATTGCGTATTAAGAACTAATATCTTGAAAATTGACTTACTTGAACCTCTCTTTTTGGGTCGAAATTAAGAACTAATTTCTTGCAATGATGGGTTGAGCATTGTTGTGCATGGTGATGCGCAAAAAGACCCTTTTTTATTCTTTTGTTGGGGGAAGATCTAGCAGGATAAATCTACATCAAAAGCCTACAAATGACTAAGAATCCTAATCATTTAGATTTAGTTAGTTCCCTTAATCCCATGCTACCATGCAAGAATGTTAAAATAATATTTTGCCCATTATGTCGCATGAAACCTATTAGCTTAAGCTAGTTTACCACACAACCCCAAAATTTGGAGCTTTAGAAGAGGACAGTTTTGTTCTTTATGTGAAATTAAGGTGTCAATTTCGTCTTTTGAGGAACTAAGGTCCATTTAAATTTATTATGAGACACTTCAGCAAATTAATAATCATCCCAAGCTAGGACATGGGGTGGGGGTACATATGTGGTATACGTGACAGAGTTGCTTTGACTAGGGTTTTGACCAAAGGACGGGTCCATGGGGTCATGAAACCCCCGACTAGTCCCTTTCGTTCTTAGTTTTTGGACTCTAGCCTGCACTTATTAGGGTACAAAAACTTATGGGCAATATGGTCATTTCGATAGTTTGGCTACTTGGCTCTTGCATTTATGTGTGAATGTGATCTCTCTATATTGGCTATGATTTTAATCGGGTCCCCTATCTGCCATTAATTTAATTTGGACTGTGATGAAAAAGATGGTGGCAATGGTTGTAAGTGAGATGTCCATATACATATACCAGATATCAGAACCAGACATCCCCAAAGAAAGAAGAAAAAAACAGTTTCCATGACTTGCACAGTTGCACTAAAGAAAAAACTATATATAGTATTTATTGTACATTAATTCAGAGGCCATGGCCTAAAGGTATGGGCATTAATCCCTGATGGGTGATGGAAATTTAATAGCTTTCATCACATGCCCAAATAGGTTGCATGTGGAGTATCTGTAGTGGCAATGACACATGGGTTCATTATGTGATTTTCATATATAGTGTATCCTCAGTGCCCAACCTAGCCTTTCTTAACTATCATGTGATGAGAGTATATAGAACGAGTTTATAGACTAAATTTCATTTATTATTTATTTAAATACAAGCGATAGTATAAAGGGGAATGTGAGATTCTCTCTCACACATACTACCAAAATGACATAAGCTCGAACTTGAGACTACTGCTATGCAATTCATTGCTTTTTTCTACCAGACTATACCTTGTTGGCTATGTAAGTTTATTCTTAAGAATGCAGCACGAGTGGGTATATTTGGATTGAGGAAATGATAAGATTGGACTGAGCTTGACCTGAAATGGAGCTTGAAACTCCAAGGCTGAGCCCAATACCCTTAAGATCGGACACCGAGCCCATCTCTACCTAATAGGCTTGCCCAACAAGACTTCATGTGGGCTGTAAACAAATAAAAGGAATACCAGGAATGAAATTTGAAAAAGCCTTTTCTTATTTTCTTTTAATCATATGCATACATGAACGTTACTGTGCTTTCTGGACCCCTTTCCGTGCGGACCTTTTCACAAAAGTAATTACTACTAAATTACTAATGCATGAACATCCGTGCTCTTCAAGCAAGAAGCTTCACTTTTCTTTTCTTTTTTCTTTTTTGTCAAAAAGCAAGAAGCTTTGCTTACTAGGGTTTAGGGCTTGAGTTCAAAGGAAGCATAGAATAAGCTTTGCTCAGAAGAATGAGGCTTGAGTTCAAAGGAAGCATAGAATTTGGGTCGTCCAGCTCTTCAAGTTTATATAAGCCGATCCGCGCTTGAAAGTTAGAACCTTGAAGGGTAGAGTTGGGCTCTCAGAGTTGGAGAATTTGAGTCTAGAGTATTGTATTGATGGAGGGAGATTGCTGTGCCACGCAACTCATCTATGGAGATGGTGAGTTTAATGCTGATGGGCTCGACAACTTCGTCAAGGAAGTGAAGCTTGCTGAGTGTGGACTCTCCTATGCTGTTGTTGCCATTATGGGTCAGAGCAGCGGTAAAGGAAGCTTTGTTTTTATTTATTTATTTATTTACTTTAATTAATTTAATTGGTTTAGCTTGAGCAACATTAGGGTAATTAATTGCCTATGAAAACACAGGGAGAAGCACTTTAATGAACCATCTGTTCCACACTAAGTTTAGGGAGATGGACGCAAACAGTGGAAGGTTAGTTTCTGAGCTTTTCAGTTGATCATATACTCAATTTGTTTTTTTTTGTTGTTTTCAGAATAGATACTATATATGTGTGTATCTATATACTTCAGGAACCAAACAACGAAGGGTATTTGGATAGCCAAGTGTGTTGGCATTGAGCCTTGCACGATTGCCATGGATTTGGATTTGGAGGGTACTGATGGCAAGGAGAGAGGCGAGGTAATCAGCTTTTTGTTAAAATCCCATTTGATTTGTTTTTTGTTTGTTCAGATTTAATCGCTCTTCATGCTTCCTCTGCAATTTTATTCTTTTCAAGGATGATACTGCATTCGAGAAGCAAAGCGCCATGTTTGCCCTGACAGTTTCAGACATTGTGCTGATAAATATGTAAGCTTGTTTCTTGGTTTATCTACCTTACTTTGTATAGTTGCTGACCGCATATGTAGTTGTTAATCCAATGTGTTAGCGAGCTGTACATTGAACTTGTTCCAGTAAGTGTTATATCAAATCAGTAATTTGATATTATATTAATATATTAATTGGTGATTGGATTATATATATAGGTGTCAAGAATCAGATAAAGGTCTCGAGCAAGCTGCAATGAACCCTTCACTGGAAATGGTTTTTCAGGTACTCTAGAGCTATGTCTATATCTCTACTGTTTATTCAGCATTTAATGTCGGTTACTGAAATTCTGGTTTCGAATGTATATAGGTTGTGGTGCACTCATTCGTCCCCCGTAAAATGACGTTACTGTTTCTTATACACACAAAGGTCTGGGGCATACTTTTTGAGCTTTTTAATGAGATATGTCCAATTATGTTGTCCTCGTGAAATAATATTCTTGTTCCATATTAATTTTTTCTTGTTTGTGGCTGTTTGTTTAGACCCCGTTTGAAAATCTGGAGCCTGTTTTGAGGGAAGATATACAGAAGGTAATTTAGTCTTCAGAGCTATGTTGTTTTTAAACCTTAGTTGTTATTTTTCATATCCCTCAGATATTGTAAATTCTACAGCTATGGGATGGAGTTCCGAAGCCCCAAGCCCATAACAGTACCCCCTTCAGTGATTTCTTTAGTGTGAGATCTCTGACAGCTTGTGTTCTTTTTAATGTCTTGATCATTAGTCAAAGCTAATTGTCACTGATTACAAAATTCTTTGACGTGAAGGTAGAAGTAGTTACTTTGTCCAGTTATGAAGAGGAGGAGGAGAAGTTTAAGGAGGAGGTAATCTCTCTACTATCAGAAGCAATTCGTTATGTCCAAAATCGTATTGGCCATTACATTTTCTCTTTTTGGGGTTTCGATACATGGGGCGTGTTGTAGCATCCACTCAAGGGTTGAATATGTATATTTATATATATGAAGAGTTGCTTAATGTCTTTCGTATCAGGGGAAACATAATTGTTTGCTTTATGTCCTGTATCATGCAGGTTGCTCAACTTAGGCAGCGCTTTTTCCATTCTATTTCTCCAGGAGGGCTTGCTGGTGATAGACGGGGTGTTGTTCCTGCCTCAGGATTTTCCTTTAGTGCACAACAGATTTGGAAAGTAATCAAAGAGAACAAGGACCTGGATCTTCCCGCTCACAAGGTTTTGTTAGTTTATTTTCTTCCCATTAGAAAATGATTTGTGGTGTTCACTTCTCATATGCATTGATCATATACATAATATTGTTTATAATTTAATTAGGTTATGGTTGCTACTGTTCGATGTGAAGAGATCGCCAACCGGAAATTCAATCAGTTGATCTATGATGGGGTATGTACTCATAATCTCCTTTTCTGAGATGCTTGTACTTCTAATATGATCGAGAAGGTTTTATTGGTCATTCTTGGGATATAAACATGATTTAGGGTTGGTTGGCATTGAAAGAAGCTGTCCAAACTGGTCCCGTACAAGGTTTTGGTAAAAGGCTCAGCTCCATTTTAAGCACCAATCTTTCAGAGTAAGTTTCACTCTGGTTTAAATATGTGAGTTTAAAATTCCAAAGGTGAATCTCTCTCTCTCTCTCTCTCTCTCTCTCTCTCTCTCTCTCTCTCTCTATATATATATATATATGTATTGAAATTTTTATTGTTAGTGTTGGGCTTGTATTGTTTCTAGTTCTGTCTGACATTATTTGTATGATCTTGCCTGTGCATCATAGGTATGACATGGAGGCCATTTACTTTGACGAAGGTGTAAGGAACTCAAAACGACAACTGTTGGAGTCAAAAGCATTGGATGTATGGCTATTCTATTTGTCTTTCTAATTTAACAGAGATTTTGGTTAGGTTTTCAGTTGCTTAGACAATTCTTGGAAATGAGGATGTCGTGGGGGGTCTCCCGAACCTTAGAGCTTAGGTCTGGGCCAAACACCTACTCTACCACCATGGTAGGACGGCACTAGCAATGATTGTTTTCTTTTAAACATGGAAAAAATGGGCTTGTATTTTTTTAAAAAGTGCCCAAACCCAAGAAATGAAACAGCCTAGAAAATAAAAAAGAACCAGGAAAAAAAGACCAAAAATGCTATAGTACTATATATCTATAATTTAAAATATATATGTTGAGGCTTACGCTTTGCAAGGCTCTCGATGAAACGCATCAGTCTACGCCTTAACGTTTGCTTGATCTTTACAGTTCATATTGTCTTCAAAACCCAAAATGATTAAAGGGGGGGATGGATTCGGTGTGGTTGGTTTTGAGGATTCATTGCAGCCACTGATGCCAATTATCATAGTTCTAATCTCGCTTTGCTCTTAATTTTCCAGTTTGTTTACCCTGCGTACACAACCATGTTGGGACATGTACATTCTAAAGTGCTTGAAGATTTTAAAGTGAGGCTGGAAGAATTGTTAAACAAAAGAGAAGGATTTACTTCATCTCTTCGTACCTGTACTCAGTCTTCCATGCTTGAGTTTGACAAAGGATGTGCAGGTAATTAACATGTTTGTCCACCAAACAACCTTCGTTATTAGTATTACTTAACATGTTGTTCCTTTCAGATGCTGCTATACAACAAGCTAATTGGGATGCTTCAAGAGTTGTTCGCGAAAAACTACAACGTGATATAGATGCACATGCATCATCCGTTTATAGTGCAAAGTTGTTAGAATTGAATGTCAACTATGAGGTAAGGATACTACTTGCCTCCTTATTAGTAAGGAGTACTCCTCCTTCTTGCGAATCATAGTTTGACATAAGTGCAAAAATAATTCATCAAAAATAACAAAAAGAAAAACTTTTGCACATATGTCACACTACTATTGGTAGGAATGTAGAAGCTCCTACCTGGTAAGGAGAGAAGTATTTTTCATGAGGTAACGTTATGATAATCTATTAAACTCTTGGTTATTATATGACTTAGAATACTTTTAAAGTTATGTTGATAATTTGTTGTTACTTAAAGTTCTTAATGAAAATACCCTTTAATTTTGCAGAAACAACTGTCTGCATCTTTAATTGGACCAGTAGAGGCCTTACTTGAATCTGGTGAAAAAGACACTTGGGCTTCAATAAGAAAACTTCTTAATCGTGAAACTGAAGTTGTAGTATCTGAGTTTTCATCAACTGTAGTTGCTGATTTTGAGTTGGACAAAGAAACAATTGCCAAAATGTTGCAACATTTAAGGGATTACTCACGGAATGTGGTTGTGAAAAAAGCAAGAGAAGAGGCTGCAAAAATTATGATCCTCATGAAAGATCGGTAGAGGACTTGTTGTCCATATATTTCTTCTTCTTTTTTCATTGTGATTTTGGTTGCTTATCATTTCTGTTAACATTTCTCAGGTTTTCCACAGTCTTTAATTATGATAGTGATTCAATGCCTCGGGTTTGGACTGAGAAAGAAGACATTAGAAGTATTACCAAAGATGCTCACTCTGCGGTAATGATTTTGAACTTTTATGGAAGAGTAGTTATATGTCTTTTTGTGTTAAAGTGATATTTTAGTGTCTTTTATTATGTTTTTCTTGCAGTCTATGAAGCTTTTGTCGGTCATGGCTGCTATCCGCTTGGAGGAGAAGCCAGATAATATTGAAAAAACTCTCTTTTCTTCTCTGATGGATGGAACTGTTACTGTTTCATCTTCACAAGATAGGGGAATAGAAGCTTCTGCATACCCTCTTGCCTCAAACACTTGGGAAGAGGTACCATTAATGGGTTTTGGTTTACCTATCTACTTTTTCTATCATCAAACTGGTTCCTTATTAAAGGTTAACTCTGAACTAGGTTTCTTCAGAGGATACCTTAATTACTCCCGTGCAGTGCAAGTCCATGTGGAGACAGTTCAAAACAGAGACTCAGTATAGTATCACTCAAGCTATTTCAGCACAGGTATATTTTATAATTTCTCTTAACTTACGTTTGCTTAACTTCAGTAGTTTAATTGTTTTCATTGTCATTTAAGCACTGCTGCATACATAATAAATGAATTTTGCAGTTCCTAAAACTTTTGTATGGATTTGAATTCTGGAGATCTAAATAGTGATGCATATTCTTGCAAATGTAATGGGCAAGTAGTAGTAGAAACTTTGAAATATGAAGTGTGCCTTGTGTATGACATTTTGGGATGGAGTTCTTATTCATGTAGATTGGATTTGGTTTAGCAGGGAAAAAAGAAACGTAGGGAAACACTTAATATTGTAAAATGAGCTATCTCTTGACTTGGTAACGACAAGTTTATGTATTCTTGTTTTCCTACAAAGAAAACCCTACATCCTAATATTTTCAACAAACTGCCTATCTTTATGCTTAGAAGCTCAATCTAATCTTGCAAACGTATGTATGATGCTGTTTGCTTTTGTATTCTTAGGAGGCTTACAAGCGGAGTAACAACTGGTTGCCTCCTCCGTGGGCTATTATGGCAATGGCCGTTCTTGCTTTCAACCAATTTATGCTCCCACGACTACAAAAAAAGAAATAGGCGATGGGGATCCACCGTCGTTGTGATGCTTTAAAAATTGTCGTTAAATTGACTGACATCTTTTGAATGTCAAACTACGACAATTTTTCACCGTTATGATTTTAATGGAAAGACGACAGGTGTGAAGTGTTAATTTTACATTTTTTTTTTGTTTACTATGATTTAACAATAAACTGAGGTTCAAATATGCAAAATTATTACCCACACCATGCTTAAACTTAAAAGTCACTTATCTCATAAAACTTGAAGATTTAATATTCATTACATTACCAATCTTGATTCCTATCACATCGATACAAAGTACCACATCTAACCAAGGAATTCCCAAGGATTTAATATTCATTACATTACCAATCTTGATTCCTAATATATTTGATTGATCACTAGTTGAAAGATCAAAGAAAGTTGTCAGTATGTTAAGAAGGTAAAAAATATCCTAATGTCTACAGGATAAAATATTTCTTTTTCTATTGTAATTTTGATTCCTATAATAGCTTAGCACAATTATAGGTAATCTCTTGTATAAAGTTACACTCTATTTCAATGAAATTCATTCTGGCAAATTCTATCTTTTAGCCTATTTTACATGGTATCAGAGCAGGGGAAACCCCAGCCCTTTTTTTTTTTCCTTCTCCGCTGCACACAATCAAGTAGCTTTTTTTCTTTGCTGTCGACTTCCATCATGGTCAATGAGCAGACTTCTTCCGATGGAAGCAAGCTAGGTGCTTCCAATCCTTTCTTCATCCATCATTTCGATCACCCAGAAATGATGTTGGTTTCGAAGCCCCTTCATGGGGATAATTACACGACTTGGCATTGCTCCATGACTGTTTCCTCGAGTGCCAAAAACAAGTTGGATTTTGTTGATGGCACTGTCAAAGTTCCTTCCGCCAAAACCTGACCATACGATTATGCATTGCCACATCCCGGGATCGACTTCGCCGTAGCACGATATTGTCCGCTTTGAGCCCCCCTCTCTATCCTCACAATTTTGTTTATGGGAACTCACGAGCAACTTCCTAGTGGGTCATCCATCTTGAGATATTGCTCTAGCCCCAACTCGCTTAACTTCGAAGTTCTCATGACTCCGAAGCCAGTGAGCTCCCAAAAGACCTCATGCTAGATGGAGGTGGACGTGTACATATAAGGCACATCACCCCCTCTCCATTGGTCGATGTGGAATGTTATAACATGAAGGACTCTATTACCTGACGGCATTGTACTTTCTTCCACTGGCTCCGCCAGCTGATCCTACCATCTCGCTATTCCATCCACCGACCTGTGCCCCCGATGTTTGACATGATTTCCAATTTCAAGAGGATTAACTTGACCAATTTGACCCAAATTCCAATTATCTAAGGCGGTTTGAGTTGTATTCATGTAAAAATACCATCTAAACTAATTTAATAAAGACTAATCATCCTTCTTTTTAAATTCTTATATTAAAAATCAAATTTATTTTTTCCCATATTTGCTTAGACAAACTAGGCAGATTAAATTAGGTAACATAGAACCAGGAAATGTAGCTAGCATCAATCAGCATGTCAAAACTTTTATTTATTAAATTCTTTTAATCATGCATGCATCAATAATATATTTTTTTTGGAGAGAAAAAAGATAATTGTATTCATAAATTAGGCACAAAGACCATCAACCAGAAGGGCAAATACAAATGCCTACAAATGGATAATACAAATATGAAAGCATAGTAACCACATGGTTAATCCAAATATAGGCCACAAAAGGCCAGAGAAATTTCGGCATAAAAGCCACATGCCTGAACAAAACAGACATGAATCGCATTGCCCAAATCTACCAATACAACTACAACTTTTAACTCTAACAAATACAAAATACATGTTGAGACTAGAAACAATCAAACACCCAACTCACAAGGAGTTGATGTAATTATTACAAAAAGAAACTGCAAACGAACAATCAAAAACTAACAGAGCCACTATCGTCTTGTTGCCACCACCGCCATAACCATTGTTGCCGCCTTGGAGACATAGAACACTGAGATTGCAGCTAGTAACCCTACAACAAACCACCAATCAGCAAAGCCATAGATCCACATATCTGGACACAAATAACCTCCCCACAAGTAAAATCCCAAATCCAATAGATGGGGAATGGGAAAAATAAGTAGGGAGGTAAGGAAAGAGAGAGAGCGAGAGAGGAGGAGTGACCTCCTCCCCCCTCCCCTGAACACCCAACGCAAAAGAGGTTTGAGAGAAAATCATCAACAGTACCTTTTCACAAAAGTAATTACTACTAAATTAAAATTACTAATATGAACAACATCCATGCTCGACCAAAAAAATAGTTTAAAATAGAAAATAATTATATTAATTATAAGGTAGTAAACACGAAGCTTTCATGTAGATAGAGAGAGAGAGACGGAAAGAAGAGTTAGGTGGCGAATCCTAACTCCAGTTCCTCTATGTATATTTTTTTTTTCATTTACTCTGTTTGTTTGCTCTTCAAGCAAGAAGCTTCACCACTTCTTTTTTTCTTTTTTGTCAAAAAGCAAAAAGCTTTACTTAGAAGAATAAGGCTTGAGTTCAAAGGAAGCATAGAATCTGGGTCGTCCTGCTCTTCAAGTTTGTATAAGTCGGTGCTTGAAAGTTGGAGCCTTTAAGGCTGCCATATTTGGGCTCTCAGAGTTGGAGATTTTGAGAGAGTATTGTATTGATGGAGGAAGATTGCTGCGCCACGCAACTCATCTATGGAGATGGTGAGTTTAATGCTGATGGGCTCGACAGGTTCGTCAAGGAAGTGAAGCTTGCTGAGTGTGGAGTCTCCTATGGTGTTGTTGCCATCGTGGGTCCTCAGAGCAGCGGTAGTTAAAATGAAGCTTTTTTACTTTAATCAATTTAATTGATTGAGCTTGAGCAATATGGGGTAATTAATTGCTATGAAATCACAGGGAAGAGCACTTTACAGAACCATTTGTTCAACACTAAGTTTAGGGAGATGAATGCAAACAGTGTAAGGTTAGTTTCTGAGCTTTTCAGGTGATCATATACTCAATTTTCTTTTTTTTTGTTTTTTTTGTTTTTAGAATAGGGGCTATATATGTGTGTATCTATTTACTTCAGGAACCAAACTACGAAGGGTATATGGATAGCCAAGTGTGTTGGCATTGAGCCTTGCACGATTGTCATGGATTTGGAGGGTACTGATGGCAGGGAGAGAGGCCAGGTAATCGGCTTTTTGTTAAAACCCCTTTTTTTTAAAGTCAGATTTAATCGCTGTTCGTGCTTCCTGCAATTATATTCTTTTCCAGGATGATACTGCATTCGAGAAGCAAAGCGCCCTATTTGCCCTGGCAGTTTCAGACATTGTGCTGATAAATATGTAAGGTTATCTTGGAATTACCTGGCTAGTAGCCTACCTTACTTTGCATAGTTTGTTTTAGCAAGACAAAGTTGGTTTGAAATTGGTTTTCAACATCTATAATCCTTGGAAAGAAGCTTTTGATATCATTTCTTTCTTATTGAGTGTTTAATTAGGACTTTGCCTTTCATGAAAACAGCAAAGGCTATTCAAATTATGCACCCATAATTAACGCTCCTCAACCACAGCTGATGAGGCAGGAAATGTTCAAAAGGTGCGCTTGCTAAAATATACATTAAATCATATATATCAATCATATGCATGCTAGTTCATAGTTCTATTGACTAATTTTCAATAAGCTTTAACATAAAATACATATTAAATGCAATCGAAAAACACATAGTATCCGCACAAGTTGGCCCGGACACCTCATGGTACTTACGAAAAAAAAAATACACATAGTATCAAAATGAAAATATACTCATAATTGAAAGTATATCTATTTTGGAGGTATGCTTCAGGCAACTATAACTAGCTCCCTTTGTTGCATGCCACATGGTGATAGAATTTCAAGAACATTTAAAATCAATAAAAATCACTCTTTTCTCGTTTTACCCTCCCACACAATTAATGCATGAATTTTCTCACCTACTTCTGCCCTTTCATTTCCCTACCTGTTTAATACTCGTATTATACACGTACGTATATATTTTTTCATAATACTTATGATTCCTGTACATGTCTTAAAGACTCGGTAAAATATAAGTTTTTTTTAAAAAGCAAATGTATACACATACATATGTATTTTTCACGTTTAATATACGTGTTTTTTTACAAAATTTTGGATAATACATAAAAAAATTCACATATTATACCCGTATTTTTCACATATTGTTGACCGAAAATAATATATATTAAAAGTTTTAAATATATTATATAGTAGCCGAACTTTTTAGTTGTATATTTTGCCAAAATTTTGCCGAATAAAAAACAAGTAGTATTTTATTCGTATTCTTTTGGTTATGTATTTTACTGACTAGGTTATCCACCCCAATGAACAAAAATCCAGCATCGATCCCATCTTCTTTCTCAGATTCCATCTTCTAGAAATTGATTCTTTTACTAGGCAAATAATAAAACAGGGAATCCACCCCTTTTGGTAACACTTGTTGGCACACGCACTACAAAAAAAAAAAGTGGCAATAGTCACTATTATTTGGTGATATTTAGTTACAAAAAAGGCCTTTTTCACCAAATGTCACCAAATCATAGTTACTGTTGCCACTTATTTTTTGTAGTGTCGATTTGTTTGTTTGTTTGTTTTTTTTAAAGTAAAAGTTTTATGGTTGTGTTGGAGTTTTTGCCCCCTGGTTCAGAAAAGAAGATCTATGTTTGGTTGAGGCGAAAAATAGTGAAAAACAAATTCTGATTAAGCAAAACCCAGTTTTAATCTTTTCATTTTCCGATTGTTTTTTCCTTAAGCAATTACTAATTCATTGTTAAAAAGAACAGAGGCTAAAGAGAAAGAGGGTGGAGATAGAAAAAGGTTTAGGAATTTTATGGGTTCAGAAGGAGAGAGTTGTGCACAATATTTACTTGGGTTGGGTGTTCAACCTGGAGCAATTGGTTCTGGATTTTTGGCTCTTGAAGAAGAGAAAGAAAGAGAAGAGCGTGGAGAGAGAGAAAAGGAGAAAGGAGAAAGGAGAAAAGACAAACCTTTACTTGAAACATGACTTTTTATTGGGAAATCATGTTAATACAATTGCACATGTACATGAAATTTGAAATTAATTTAAGATATTGATTCGAGATTGGATTATATATATAGGTCTCTTGACGAGCAAGACAAACCTTTTCTTGAAACATTTTTTCAGGTACTCTAGAAACATGTCTATATCTCTACTGTCTATACTGCATTGAATGTTGGTTATTGAAACTCTGGTTTCGAATGTCTATACATAGGTCATGATGCGCTTTAGCTTCCCCCGTAAAACGATGTTAATGTTCGTTATACATGATAATTCAAAGGTCTGGGGCATACTTTTTGAGCTTATTAACAGATTAAGTTGTCCTCGTATAATTTTCTTGTTCCATATTAACTTTTCCTTGTTTGTGGGTGTTTGTACTTTAGACCCAGTTTCAACATTGGCACCCTGGTTTGAGGAAATTTATACTGAATGTATTATTCAGTAAAGCGCTAGAGGAAGTAATTTTGTCTTTAGCACTATGTTGTTTTTATACCTTAGTTGTTTTCTTCGTATCTCTCAGATATTGTAAATTCTGCAGATATGGAATGGAGTTCCGAAGCCCCAAGCCTATAAAAGTACCCGCTTCAGTGATTTCTTTAGTGTGAGATCTCTTATATCCTTCTCTACTCTCTGACAGCTTGTTTTCTTTTTAATGTCTTCATTAGAGCTGATTTTCATTGATAACAACATTCTTTGACGTGAAGGAAGAAGTAGTTGTTATGTCTAGTTATGAAGAGAAGGAGAAGTTTAAGGAGGAGGTAAACTCTCTACTATCAGAAGGATTGTATATGTTTATTACTTCATGCGTGTTGTAGCATCCACTACAGGGTTGTATATATATATAATAATAATAATAATAATAATAATAATAATAATAATAATAATAATATATGAAGAATTTCTTGACGTCCTTAGTATCGAGGGAAACATTTCTTATATTTCCTAAGTAAATTCATTCATTGTAAAAGTTTACTATGATACTTACGGGTTATGGCCTGTATCATGCAGGTTGCTCAACTGAGGCAGCGGTTTTCCCATTCTATTTCTCCAGGAGGGTTTGCTGGTGATAGAAGGGGTGTTGTCCCTGCCTCAGGATTTTCCTTTAGTGCACAACAGATTTGGAAAGTAATCAAAGAGAACAAGGACCTGGATCTTCAAGCTCACAAGGTTTCTTAGTTTCTTTTCTTTCCGTTTAGAAAATAATTTGTGGTCTTCACTTCTCATATGCATAGAACATATACTGTTAATGATTTAATTAGGTTATGGTTGCCACTGTTCGGTGTGAAGAGATTGCCAACCAAAAATTTAATCAATTGATCAATGATGGGGTATGTACTCATTTATCTCCATTTTTGAGATGTTTATAAGTATAATATGATCAAGAAGGTTTTGTTGGTCATTCCTTGGATGAACATGATTTAGGGTTGGTTGGCATTGAAAGAAGCTGTCCAAATTGGTCCTGTACAAGGTTTTGGTAAAAGGCTTAGCTCCATTGTAGGCACCTATCTTTCTGAGTAAGTTCCACTCTGGTTTAAATATGTTAGTTTAAAATTCCAAAGGTGAACTATCTGTGTTTGTAATTTTTGTATAATTAAATGATGAAAGGAAAGGGATTTGGTGGAAAATCTAAGTAGGATAAGAATCATTATGAACTCATTGTATCGTCCATAATAAGGGAGATGTTGAATTAGTGTATGTCCATTTTATGCTTCTAATATGAATAAGATGATATTGGAGACCATGTATCTACAATTACCAGAGTTATAGTAGTTTTACAGTGTCTGTTGGATTAACCACTTATTCAAATAGGTTTCAATTCACTTTTCACATGCCACGAAGTCAGTCCACTATGTTTTGTCTGACCAGTAAATCTAGCAAGTAGTGTTTCTGTGTTAACAGATTTTGAAACGTGTACTTATTTGTGTGTGCGCTTTCTATACATTGAAGTTTTTATTATTAGTCTTGTATCGGCTTGTATTGTTTCTAGTTATGACTTATTTGAATGAATTGATCTTGCTTGTGCATCATAGATATGACATGGAGGCCATCTACTTTGACGAAGGTGCAAGGAACTCAAAACGACAACTGTTGGAGTCAAAAGCGTTGGATGTATGGCTACTCTCTTTGTCTCTCTAATTTAACAGAGATTTTAGTTAGATTTTCAGTTTCTTAGACAATCCTTGGTAATATGGAGGTCGTGAGTAGTAGTGGTTTTTTAGTT